CAATATCTGGTTTAGCTACAACCCATTGTAAGTACTAGATGCTAGTGCGTCATGTACCAGGAAATCTAACTAGCATTAAAGCTCGAAACAAAAAAGATTCTTGTCTTATTTTGGCACAAATCGCGTCTTGCCGTAGTGATAGAATTGCGTTTGCGATCAATCGATTAACACAGAGTAAACAAAACAAGGGACAATGGATATTTGTTGTGCGGATTGAAGATGGATTGTTCGATGATTTTGAGTAGGAAGCTCGCAGCATTCCAAGCGGTGATCTTAGTGGCATTGGTAGTGTGTGTTATGAATCAAATGACAATGGCTTAATCGTTGGTTAGATCACGGAAGGAGAGTTCATCACATGACTGCATGCAATATCAAATTTCTACTGTTGGAGCCCACATCGATACTGACTTACCACAATTGGTACTTCTTGACCACGATGGACAAAATGCATGTGTACAAAATCTGGAATGAAAATTTAAGCAAACTATAGAATATGGTCATAAAAGATTTTTTCTTGATGACGTAGGACTTAAATTGTGCAAATCTGAGTATCCGCGAACTCCAAGCCGTGAGTTATCTCGTGCGTCATCATGCCTCAATTGCACCGATAAGCTCTCTTTGGTCATGAACTATGAGCTATCATTGGCACCGCCAAGTGATGTCTAAATCTTGAATGAACAAGGCTTCAAATTGATCTTCAAACTTCTAAACTAATGCAAGTTGTCTTACTCAACATCAAGGGCTATGCACCAGAGTCAAGCAAAACTCTCGCTGGAACATACAACTATCCTGTAAAACTCACCACAACAAATCACTCCGATTGTCTATCATAGACACATCCAAAACAATACTCTCAAGATCAATGGTTGGCTCGACTAGTAATAACTTCATCTTTGCTGCTGCCGCGTGCCAAGTTGCCTCATCCCTGAGTGTAGGCATTGAGAATTGCTTTCCCACAATACCCTCACATATCTCGGCACTTGTAGAAGTGATACTCCCACGTTCACACAACATGATTGCTACACGAAGTACAGGAGCCACATCAAACCCTAAGACCATCAGCTCCGTGGTTGAAAACAGTGAAGATTTCATCACCAAAATAGTAATTTGCATCACTACACTAGATGATGTCTTTGTGCCCACAACATGCATCAATGCACTAGATGATGTCTCTGTGCCCACAACATGTGATGTAAATGCCTCAGTTCTCACTAGAGGATCACTAGGTGGTGTAAATTTCATAGATGAAATCCTGCCTACTTCTAACATAAAAAATGACGGGGAAATCTAGCTTGACTCCCATCCTCATCCCTCTTAGGATCCAACTCCACGTTCGCACCGCGTCACTCTGAAGCACGAGCAGCACATCTCGTTACTGCAACAGCTCCTTCAATCTAAGCTGCAGTTGCCAAATAAAAAGCTTTTGCTCCCGAACTAGTCATAGAAGCAAGCCTCTGCTCCAACTTCTCAATCCGAGCAGCCATAACGTTGGTAAGAGTAGCACCCACTACGTGTTGTCAGATGACACCCGCACCAGCACCTCTACCACCTTGATCTCGTGGAGCAACTCTGCCACGATCTCTACTCCCAGATCTCAACTCTAAATGGAGGTAGAAACATCACTCTGGTATAATTTGCTCGACCACAATGATCACACACAACCTGTGTCGACTATGAACCTCGTCCACTGCCTTCTTGAAAACAATACTTTCTCATATGACTATCTCCACATGTTGGTCCCTTGTGCTGACTAGAAATTGAAGGCAATGGTGCTCGCGCACCCGTCTCTATGTGACCTAACGGATATTGTGTTTGAACTCCACAACTCCCACCACTACCACAACTAGTAGGACGAGATTGTGCGTCATTCTACAAGACACAAGAAGTAATGGACATGTTTTTACTAAATAAAGACGTCACCTTCCTCTCCTCCACTATGTTATGTCCCTATACTCCACTAGTACCTTCACCAATAGCTCCACCGGTACTCCCACTAGTACCGCTTCTAGTACTTCCATTGGTGCTATTACTCTCAGCTCCACTAGCAACAACACCAATGGTATTAACACCACCATGGATAATGGACAGGTAGTTGGGAGATCAATGACACCTTTATGCGTCAATCTCCACATCATAGTCTCTACTAAACTCATGATAGTTATACATGGAAGGTTACTCCAAATATTGAAACAACCCCTTTCAATCAAAGAAGGGTGTGAACAACGTGGGATTACGCAAAAATTGCATATCACAACACGCATCAAACTCTTGGATGAATTCGTCCAACTCAATGGTGCCCACTTCACCTGAGTACCGTCGTGGATACTTCATGGCCACATACATCCCGTCCATGTCCCAAATCGACAGTGTTGTGGCACTAGACGGTATCAAATTGAAACATTTGGTGTCCGCAACACCCTAGTCGTCCTCACCAACAAATGAGATAGATAAAGGTAGCCGATACCTGAACCCACTAGGCGTAAATCCACTCGTATCACTCAAAAAGATCACCAAACTCCTTAGTGATGACCAAATCCTCCACTAGCACCACTGCCAAATCTCCACAAAGTATCCAAATCCGCACTTGACATCGTGCTTGTACTAAGCTACTCTAGCCCTACTAGCTATAGGGTATGGATAACCTAACTTGCCATCACCGCAAGAAGACTCTCACGGTTTATTGATCATCACTCTAGTATCACCGTGTGTGAAACAAAGATAAGTAAGTTGGTGATCAAATCCAATCGCGTTATTGACAACACAGGAGTAAAACTACTATGAAAATCAGCGTCAATTCTTACACGGGCGTGCACCAAGAAGCAAGACTAAAGAGTATCCAAACACAAGCAAACAACTAGCAACAACTCTTCAGTCTAAATGAAACACAACACAACACAACACAACACACACGAAACATCGCATCGCATAGCGATCTTGATTTGATCTCCATCGCCTCCTATCACCTTCCGCCTCGAACGACTATAATGTCATCTCTTCCACCAAGTCGCAAAAAGCCAAGAGTCACTCTCTCTGCCTCGCAAATCATCGCCGAAGTTAGCTTTACACTCCTCGATCCACCATTGTCGAATCAAGATGTAAACTCAATATCACAAACAAAAAGATTCGAGAAGTGAAACACCCACAAACACAAACTTGATGTAGTTTTGTTCGCTGAAATGAATCTGTATACTCTCAAACTTTCCAAATCAATTTTTCCATACCACTTTCAAATTTCCACCAAAATTCACGCACAATCCCACGATTGCAAATAACTATAAATAATTGCAAACTCGTTCAAGCTTCTAACTAAATCCAAATGGCAATTCTTCGAGTGAAATAATATGTGTTAACCCCATTGGTTTAATACACGAACGTTACCATCAAGCCCAGCTCACTCACTAGAGAATCTAGATCAACTCACTCACTAGAGAATCTAGATCGACGCTTACGAACACAATAGCCAACCCACTGAAGACTACATCAAACGCTACAGGCTAGACTCGAAGAACTAAATATTCTTTGAGTGACCCTCAACTATATACCCTTCAACACCTAATCCTAGATTGACAGCTAAAAATATCATATACAAAAACACATGACACTAGTTATCCTTCAGTTTAGGCTAATTATCCTTCACTCTACTGCACTTTACAAAAAAGATATATGTGATTGATCAAAGGGAAAATAGAATGCTTATGATATCATGTTGGGAGAGGGATGGGACGGAACGAGAATATAATCTTTGCAAGGATAGGAAAAGGTGTAGAATCAGAAGCAGTGCACAACATGGAATCATATGACAACAATACTAGATGGAGCTAAAGTTTTTGTAGGGACAGAAAAAAGAGGAAGAATTGGAATTAGTGCACAACTTGGGAGCATATGGCAGCGAGACTGGACATGGATAAAGTTTATGCACGAATAAGAGAAGGGGGGGAGAATTAAAAGTGGTGCACATTATGAGAACATATTCAATCGAGACAAGTGCATTTTGATTCTCGACATGGAGATATTCATTCGTTTGAGTGTAGATGAGTTGAATGAGTTGCAATCAGAGCGCAAGTTTGTATTGAATGTCTGACCAACCAAATTCAGCTTGAATGTGAAATCTACTTTTGCGCTAAAGTGAAGCAAATGACACGAAGTTGTTATAATGGACGATGAAAGTTCAATACGTAGCTCAGCTCACATCCATGATACAATAGTTGATGCAAATTGATGGAACCAGCTGGCTCCACCGCTAGAGATCTCCTACACAACACTGGACGTTGCGATATCGGTTGTGCAAGCTTACGCATTCAGTCAGGACTAAGCCATCGTGATTAAGCGCAGACGCAGGGTTGGTAAAACCAATGATGGAGCTATCAAGGCACTTGATGTTCTGTGTTTCCACTGAAACAAATTGGTTGTCTATGAATGTTCTCTTTAGGTCAACACATCCAACCGTAACACTGGCTGTCAATTCAAAGGAAAAATCAACAACAGAGGAGTTGGCAAATAAGAAAGACAAACCCAACTTGTATGGGAGATATAAGCCCAATCCGCCCAACATAACCACGACGCTCTTGCTCATCCCACTGTCCATCTGCAAGATTGCATACTACAAGACCAACGATAGACACCGCTTACTCTTAGTCGTGCTAGTGTTACAACCAACAAAATTGTTACGACACTACGGCAGAATGAAGTGATACCTGTAACATATAAAGATATCTGGAATTTATGTTAAAAGAAGAGTGTTTGGGTACTTGCAGACAGGTCTCCACTTTTTGCGTTGCTTGACAATTTGACCGCTACCGGAAGCACATTGTATTTGATCTAAGTATACGATCAAATACAATGTGCTTCCAGTCCGTCAGCAAGAGTAGGAAGATTACATGTGTACTCCCAATAATATTAAAAAGATTTTAAACGTTTTTGATGTTTTTCTAACAACTTTTGTCACGAATCTAAGAACTTGCGTCAATAAATACAATGGTTGAATATCGTTTTTGCTGATATGTCAACGACATATCAGCGATCTTGCGAGCGCCTAATGATTTTTTACAAATTCCTCCAAAATCTGACGAAACTTTCGTCAATTTTCCAACTAAGACCCAATTTCCGTTGAAAAATTTGCCTTTTGTCGCGGTGTGTTCATGTTTTTCTGCCACCCCGAGTCGATCTGGTCTTCTAAATCTCCGGGACTCACTTCGAGCTAGTTTCTCGAAGATTTAACTAGAGGATAAGCTCTTGATGATTCGTTAGAACAAATCCCATTTTCTCTGAACTCAATATCAACTGCGCGATTTAAGAGATAATCGACTTCGCTGTGAGTTATTTTTCCTTCTTGTATCACTTCAACTCCAAGCGTTTCTTCTCTCAGACTCTCCTGTTTCAGATTCGCTACGGAGAATTTCCAAACCCCAAAATTCATTTTCCGACTCCGAGGTAAGTCCAGACTGTCATCGACGCTTGATTCTTGTGGACTGCATGTTTCACCAGTATGGCGTTGTGCAAAACGATCTGCAACTGCACAATGTGCTCTTCGCCAACACCCAGTTCTGGCATTCAAGAAGGTCCATAGCAATTTCAAACCATACGATTGGTTCATCTTCTGTTGGAAAGGATAGGGAGCCGAGTGGAGATTAATGATTGCTACGACACTTCGGTCTTCATCCTCCTTATCCTCGTCGAGCCCATCCATGTTCCTAGCTTCGTCACTTTCCCCAACCAACCGTCATTCGCTCGGCCTTCAGACCTTCAATACATGATTCAACTGTACTGCGAACTCCCACTACAGTTTTCTGATATCTTCTAGCTCTATGTTACCCGTAGAAGAAGGTGATGCAAAACTCAAAAGAATTTTGCATCACTTCGCTTCCCTTCGAACAGACTTCTAAACCTGTGTGACTTTTGGTACTCTTTAATAAAAATAGTTCGTCCACAAGGTTCAGAGCTTCGTGCTACATTTCTCAAGCACGCTTGCTTCCCCGAAAACCTGGCCGCGCTCGTCCACTCGCACATTCATAAAATGTCCACAACACCTTCTAGCGACCCCTCCAGCAAAATGAAGTGATTCTTCATCTCCAAACCGTATACGACTGGAATTTCGAACAGCGCAGGGGTAGCACTTCTCCGGCCGAAATCATCCCTCGTCGAGCTCGTAACCTTGAAAGCAACGCAACGCAGGTCAAGCACTGAGAGCCACTACCGCACGGTCAACAAAACGAAGACAAGATGGAAAACCTGTTCGTTTCGTCTGCCCGCATCTCAAAACCACTCAGTCCCGCACGAACACATCGCAATTAAGAAATCCTCGGACCCCAACCTTCGGACCTCGCCCGTTTCTTAATTTCTGGATTGTGACACAGCTCCAGGCTACGAAGCGCGCAAAAACGTTTTCGCCCAAGTCGTCTTGGAAATCGGAACTCCTCAAGAGCGCTAGCGGAGGCACAGGCGCGCTTCTCTGCACTTTCCTTGATGATTTCCTTGATTCCTTCCTGACCTCGAGTTTCTCAAGTCCTCCCATAATAATACATGTCACTGTTAAATTTTTGGTACAGCGACCAGTAAACTAACCCAGCTCCTTGTAGAAATCTGATGATTTGTGAATTCAATTGAGGTTCTTCGAAAAAACCTCAAGAAAAATCTCGAAAGAAATTTTCAAATTACGACTCAAAAATCTCACGCAGAGTCGGAACGGGCTGTATGCGAGAACCCAATAGAGACACGGTGACACATAATTAACGTGGTTCAAGAAGAGGGCTAACTCCACCCACAACTCTCAGCATTTTACTCTAAGTCTTGTGAGAAATATCTAAGTCGAGGTTTTTATCCCCAGTCCAGGCGACCCGAGGTTATTCTTTAACTTGAGTTAACTTCAACTAAACAAGTGTACAAGATATACAACGATAAATCCACCACGACCTGAACAACATGAGTGTTAGTGCATTTTCTCAACAACAATATAAATTCATCGTAACCACGCATTCCATACGAGCTGAACAACATGAGTGTCAGTGCATTTTCTCAACAACAATATAAATTCATCGTAACCACGCATTCCATACGAGTTGAATAACATGAGTGTCAGTGCATTTTCTCAACAACAATATAAATTCATCGTAACCACGCATTCCAGACGAGTAGAACAACATTAGTGTTAGCGTATTTTCTCAATAACAATATAAATTCATCGTAACCACGCATTCGGACGAGTAGAACAACACGAGTGTTAGCCCATTTTCTCAACAACAATATGTATTCATTGTAAGCATGCATTCCGGACTAGTTGAACAACATGAGTGTTAGCGCATTTTCTTAACAACAATATATATTCATTGTAAGCACGCATTCCAGTGTCATATTGTGACCTTGTTGGTGGACAAGTTTGATTAGCATGATTGGTACAACCTACGCGTGTTGCAAGTGCAGTATCGGCAACGCAGTGCGACACAGATCAGTCTCCAAAGAACAAGAATCAATTGGTGTGGAGGGAGTCGAGGGGCGGCCGCAATGCGAGGCACCCAGAGTGAGACGCGGACGAAGGGCTCGACGCACTGCGATGAAGAAGCGGCTCGGTCATTGCCAGGTACTTCCCGTACCTTACCAATCACATACCTCTAATAAAGTAGGGTGAGGATAATTAGCCAAAAATGAATGATAACTAACCACTCCGTTTAAAAACTAATAGATCAATTGGTCTAGAGATATACACTTGAGAAATCCAAAGACTTGTTCTATTTGTGGACAAATTACCATAATATTTCAAGAATTAAACTTAACCTGTGAAATCTCGCAATGTATGCTTGTTCATACAACTAGCAAAATAAAATGGCTTGCATCGTAAGAATTTTCCTTATGATGACGTTTCGACTTGTGCGTTTCTTACGGTGAAATTATCGAGTTACGAATATAAAATGGTGAAGTCCGTTATATTCAATGTTACAAATTTTCACTCCGAACTTTTCTGCAAAAGAAGGAAAATAGGTTGTTCATTACATAACTGTATTAACGCAATAGTTCCGATAGCATGTAATGATGATTCCGATTTACAAACGTGAGGGTTTAATATCGTCCGACTCTAAAAACACAAATGTCCATTGGAGCTAAATTTTGGAGCCAAAATTACTTACAGAAGAGTGTGCCAGTGGATTCTAGCGATGCTAGTGGCATTGCTAGAATCCATAAACTAGACAAAAGACTAGACAACTTCATGTTTAACTCCAAGCTCTGCCTTGATGAATGCGGAGGTGAAGATAAAGAAAGGAAGTGATACATTACAAATGTGATGAGTGATGCGAGTTTTCCTTCATTCTGTCCAGATCAGAAATCGATAGTGTGAAAAAAGTCAGAGTCATTTTGCCCTTATACGTAAGCTTACTTTCTCCCAAAGTTCCCACTTATGGTTAAAAACAATGAAAACAAAATGCTACAAAGTCCGGAGACGGAGACAGAATCAAGGAGGCCACTGAGAGATCAGAAACTCTAGCATGCCTTGGAACGGTGATGTAACTCCAATCGTCCATGCTTACGAGCTTAGGTCCGCACTCTAACGATAATTCCTAGTGCATCTGATCTTCAGCATATCGAAATGAAGCACATAGCATACGACGTTTTGAGAAAAATGAATCAAGGCTACAATTTTACTTCTCTTAAAAGGTATTTGTAACACAGCTGAACAAGCGTTCCAAATACCATGAAATTTGACTGGCTTTGAAAATGGTCATAGGAAATATATTTTACAGCCTTTTTGCAGCACAACGTGAAAGTAATGGGATTTATTACACAGGCTTCTTAAAAAGATCTGCTAGGTGTCGCTTGAAACAGATGAGTAGATCCACCATAATGCCACATTCATATCTGCAGTAAAAAGAGCGAAACTACTTCAGTTTCTTCTCACAAAACAAGCATAAGTGTAGGAAGCACCGAACATGCTCGAGCGATGTGCGATCTGACGATGTAAAACAACAAGAATTTGTTACCACGAAGCTGATATATATATCCTACATATATATGTAGGAAAAGAGAGCATACCCTGCAACCTGTCAAGCTCATGTACTTGGATAATAAGAAGGTGTAGAGAGAACAGACAAAAACTCACCAAGGAGTCAATGACGAAACGATCCAAAAGGTCACTGTCTTCTCAGCCCTTGTCTACCTCCTGCACCAGGACCTTCTCAAGCGATGAATTAGAAGCAAACGCCTCCTCACATGTCCCAACATAATCATTTACAAACCGAATAATCTCCGACAAACAGGACCCCAGAACCTTGTCAATATCTCCCCGCTGGTCTATGTATGTGACAACAATGGTTGTCAATTATCCATTTGTCTATCAAATTTAAACTCTTTCAAGAGCCCCACCAAGCGTGCATGATCTCACGCAAATTTCACTATTCACTTCGTACTGAAGATACAGATTGTGCAGATATAGAATGCGTGGGACTTCCGGGTTCGCCGTTGATATTGGAACCCTTAGTCCAACCGCTGCGAAGCTTTCGCAGACCATCCTTAGCCGTTTCGATGAACCAACCTTCCTCTGGCAAGACCGCTTCTGGGTCGGCCCCAGTGGCCAAATACGCACTAATGGCCCGTGTAGAAAGATCATTGATCACTTGACGCATAATCCTCGAAGGATAGCGTAAATGGCCAGCTATCTGCATGACAAACTCCATATCCAAAATGAACTGTACCACCAACAACCCAACGATAGTATCAGTACTGGTAATGTCGATGTTACAGCGTCGAAATAGAACAGTTCAGTTCGCCCATGAGTAAGACATACAGTATAAAACTCGGAGATAATTCCGTGATAATATGAAGTGAATCATATGCATCATCGTAAGAGGATGAAGAAGCTGTAAAAAAACGATGATTCCCTTGTCTAGCTAACAAAAGAGATTGGAAACAGTTTCGAGCATTTGAATGAATGACTACTGGAAAATAAGGCATTCTCTAATTTGTTTGAACTGCCTGACAAAATAATCCTCGAGGTCCTTCCGAGTGACCGGGTAAAAGCTAGCGAAATGAAAACCCTCTAATGAGATTGATTGCAGCGCTAACTGACTGGCGAATTAATAGTTAGAGCAGAAAGGAGAATATGGTTTGCAAACTTCAAAGAATCAACTTTCCATCTGCTGAGCCTCTTACTTGTTGGAGTCCAATGGGGCCAATTGCTCTTTCTCCACCCTCTTCAATCAGATCCCAGAAGTCTTCAACATTAGACAGGCAATATACAAATGTTTCGCTTAGCCGCATGCACAGCAAACTGGTCATCCTCTCCCTTCCAGCAAGGAGTTCTTGCGCAATTTGATTGATGGTTGTGACCTTGAAGTAAAAGGCCTGTTCAAAGGCAAGAGATATGAAAACGTCATCAGCAGAGATTAGAACCTTGCGAGCACTAGTTTCTAAACGTCATATGTGAATGCAATTATGTGGAACTAAATAATATAGTAACTCGAGAAAACAATCTTGAAATTTGATACGTCTTGAACTATGAAAGACTACTTAAAATGCAAGAGACTTCCTTTAAGTATATCAAGGGCATATTTATCGCGGGTTCTGGGTCTAGAGAAAGCCTACATAATTAGGCACAATCATCATTCTGTTGTAGTCATCTATCATAAAAGCAAACATTATGAAATATGTAAGATTGTCACCTGGAAAGTTCGCGTAGGCATGGGTTCTTGGTGCCATGTGTTTTCATCCACCTCAAAATCGAGTCTCAGGTATGTCTCAGGTGTAAGACGAATATCTTCAGTCTCTTCAGCATTGTATACCACATCGAAGGTATGATACTGACAAAAATGATCTCGTAATCTTTCAAAGCCCCGTTGCAATCGCCTCCTCCAATCCTTCAGCTCTGGCATCCTGGCAGCTGCTACTACTGATTGTCTTTCTACACTTCTTCTCACACGCGTATCCTCTTTCATACCAGTTGATGGAATTAATTTTGCAGCTGCTCGGGGTAAAAGTTCATCTGCAAGGGCAGCCGCGTTTCCCAGAATAACAAGCTGTTGCTGGAAGGACTCTGCAGGCTGCACTTTATTCATGTCGGTTTTATGAAATTCTTCTTCCTCTTCCTCGGCAAGGGCTGGTAAGGCTTTCATGAGTAAATTTACATATGAATCAAAAATTAAAGCTAGACCATCTAACGCATGTCCAGCAAGCTGCATATTAATGAGTGGAGAAACATCCTCAAGGAAGTCCTGCACAAACATACAAAAAGGATGCTTTTAGTCAAAGAAACAGATCACTGTACCAGCTCCATCATATAAGTAAGTCTACCAAAGACAGCATAATGTATCCCAGCAGCCTGAAGAATGATTACTTCGTGTCGTCTGTTACAAATGACAGAAGGACGGGCACAAACAAGAAGCAAGGACACAAAGCTCTCACCTGCACCATTGCATTGAAGCGATGTGCGCTGCTTGACAGCTTCACAGTTAAGGAGAATCCACCGCCCGGTACAGTAACACGACCTTGCGTACGAGATTGGCTGGCAGGTAAAGACGTCAAAACCCAGTCATCTGCCGCAGCCAGAGCGGCCACACTCTCCTCAATTCTTTTAAGATTAGCCTCTAGGGCCTGCTCGACACTCGGTCGGACAAGTTTGGTAAGAACGGATGAGAGCGCTAATCCTTGGTCTTCCAGGAGAGAACAATGCCCGATAGCAATCTGAACACACTCTGCTGCAGCTCTAAGACCCCCAGCTGCAGCTGATGAAGACAAAACGTGCCGTTCTACCAGCGAGGCGAAATTTTCTGTTTCACTTCTAGCCCAAAGTACCAGCTCTGAAGCATACGGTGAGCTTTCACCAAATACACCAACCGAATCCCGTGCTGCCTGCAAACAAGCAAGGCACAACCCAGTCAGTTATCACAAATGACTGTTGGACACACCTCTGCTCTTAAACACCAAAGATATAAATGTATGCTGCAAACGATAAGGGAAAAGTACAGCAAGACTCAATTAACGAGCATCATGTGCCAATTCAGTCCATGGAGCTATTTGGTAATCTGTTCTTCGAGGTATTATGGCATTTGGAAATTCACTGACTACGATGAAAATTCCCAGAAACGAAAAGTTCTCCGTGGGGCTGAAATCCCAGGCATTGGGGCGAGACATACCTGTGCTATTGCAGAAAAGACAAGCTGTGACAAAGCAGCTGTGTATGCCCCTCCGTAGGAAGTTCCACTCGGTCGCAACGTTCTGATGTTGTGCTGAAGACGTTCGTGATGAGATTTGAGCAAAAGAGTGTGAGCGCGGGGCCCGTCCCCTAGCTTCTCGAGGGCTGCAATAGCACTTCGTAGTTCAGATCCCCTGACGGACGGTTGTTTAGCTGCTTCAGCTAGCTGTTCTGCTAGTCTCGCCCTCCGCTCAGATAGAGCAGCCTGAAGAGCGACGACAAAAGAATTTTCCTTGTTCCCTTCAGTTCTCTGTCCTTCTGCAACCAACCTTTCCCCATCATCCAATGCTAACAATGCGGCTGGAACTTTTCGCTCAGCTAAAAGAACATCTAATTTATCCGGAAGCACTTGAGCAAGTATCTCTAGCTCAGAGGGTGTCGTATCATGAGTGAGATAACTAATATCCTCTGTATCCTCGGACGCTGCTTTGATCGTAGCTAAAGAAGTTCCCTCAGCCAGTCCGCGTATTAAAGTTTCTTGAGTAGATAAGAGATTGCGCATAGACACCAGTTCGCCTTCGAGGTCCGAAAGCTCTCGAGAAGTTCTGCAGCCACGAAAAAAGGTCAGCATTGTTTACCCCAATTTGAATGAACAAGAAGTTGGTACTTAACACTCTTTGAGACCAAAGCGCATGAACTTTTTAGCACTCGAAAACTTGACAAGATTCGATAATTCATTTAGTGGCAGATGCAATGAGTTTAATAACAGAGGGTAAAATTATGAAGTTTCAAAAGGCCTTCCAACACATGAGACATTCATCCATCTAATGCCTAACTAGAGAAGAGTATAACCTTTTCTTCACACCAGTCTAACAGGAACAGCTGTTTCGTGTGCAAAACGTGGTGTTAAAACAAGCCTTGTAATGCACCGATTGTCACCAATGAGCACTGGGATCAAGGTAGAGAATATATGGTACCTTATGAAAGCAGTGTAATTTGCATACACACTTTTTCGCATCTCCTCCGCAGAGGCTCTCTTCAAATCTTGTAATTCAGCACACAGTTGCCTTATGGCCTGGATGGAGGTAGATAGAGCAAGTCCATTAGATCATTAAACGACAGGAAGCAGATGATCTCACGCCTTCGGGTCAGCAATTCTCCCCGTCTCACGGAAAGAGAACATAATCGGCAAACAATTCAGAAAAAAACATGGAGACACGAACGCTTCGGCCAACTCTCGAAAAAGAGATAAGAAAAAAGACCCGGATTCACCTTTTCGCTCATGGACTGACACTTGCCCTGCACATAGGCGTTGGCATCGAACTGATCGGACTCAAACACCCGAAGCTCATCCCGTAAGTGGCCATTGTAAGCTGGCGTTCCATTGGCCATAATCGGCCCCGAAATGCCCCGCACCCTCACGGAAGGCTTGACGGAACCCATCGTGCACCAGCACGAAGATCAGCACAGATTCCGATACGACTCAAAAACCAAACACCTCCACCGTCCACCCTGCCCTACACGCTCGCTCTCTCTCTCTCCCTCCCTCCCTCCCTCCCTCGGATCACGACACGATTTCTCCCGACACTACGACACCTCCCACTCACTCACTCACGAGATCTCACAAAGCACATTGGATCCGAAAGTCCGCACAACCCCGCCGACGATTTCCGCACCTCGGCCTCACGGGGGCTCTGATCCTCTCCTTCTCTCTCTCTCTCTCTCTCTCTCTCTCTCTCTCTCAAAGATTGTCATGCGGATTACAGTCCTGGTCCCTCGAGCGCTCTCGCTCTTCTTCAGCCATGTCGACCGTGAGACCTCGGCCAGACTGTCGCTTCGCTCGCTCGCACACTCTTCGCCTCGCCTCGCTACTCCTCCTCCTCCTCCTTCTCCTTCGTTTCTAATGGCGCCTGTGGCTTTGAGCTCAAGGCACTTGGTCGCCTTTTTGCCCTGGTCTCGACATCGGGCCCTTCCTTTTGGCTGCAAATGGCGGCACTTTTAGAGCTCCAGGTCCCGAGGAGCTTCGGCTGCTCTGCCTGCCCTCATTTAGAGGCCATTTGGGTCGAGGCCATTTGTCTCTCCCTCGCGCTTGGCGTGTTCTCTGCTGCAGGTGGGCGCGACTTGAAGCACACTATAGTGCCTGCCTGCCGGCCATCCAGAAATCCAGACTTCCGAGCAGCTTGTGGCCGGTTTTCCGGAATGAAATTGCACAGGGATCTGCGCTTTGCAAGTGATTTATCAGTTATTTTCCTTGTTGTGAAGACAGAAACTATTCAGCCTAGACCATTTTCGACTCAGCCTGACATTCTCTGTGTTTTTTGTGACCGGCTTTTGCTGAGAGCTTTACCATCGTAGCCCTTTACGCGCTGACCTTGACCCATGGCATTTTAGCGCAGAGCATAGTCAGAAAAGTCCATCCACAGCTAATGCCTTTAGACAATGTGCAAAACGAGGTTAATATTAAACTGAATGAGAACAGACACGCAGAGTGCGTATACAATCAGGTCTTATTTGTATCCGTCCCGTTTACACTATTTGGACAAGTTCCTCAGTGACTAGATTTCTTTTAACCAGTTTGTTAGGGTGCACTGGGGAACTGAAGGCTGGCTCAAGAAGTGCCTTACCAAGTGAAATGAAGCTGTCTTAGATGTCAGTTGGTTATGCTGAGATCAAGCTATCTTATCTCTAGATACCTCTCTATGTTGTTTCTCGGTGGCAAAAGGCTGCTGTTTACACAACCCGGATAAGTAACCGGCTAAGGATCAAGGTTGGCTTTACTGGTGGTTCACACTATCCAAATACTATCTTGCTGTACACTTCACACGAACCAAGAACTAATCCATTCTAGATTCAGTTTCCTACGAGCCTTCTCAGATCATGAGACCAACCCGTCTGTGTCCCAATCTGCACGCGCATGAAGAAAGAAAAAGGACGAGCTTTCTTGATCGTAAATGCGAGCGCCTTTTCCCCTGGCCGTGACTTCTGTCCTAAAGGAAAAACTGTACGTCCTTGTGATAGTAATGAGCAGACAGTAGACGGCATCACCAGATTCACCACTAACAACTTCCAAAGTGAGCGAGGACAACAAATTTCTCCTCTCCTTTAGCGTAATCGCCCTTCACCACAAGGGGGGCATAGATGAAAAACTGTACTGTATTACTTAGAACAGTTACCCAAATGAGAAGTAGGATCAACATGTACGAGGGTAGTCTCGTACATTCTTCCTACTTATCCTCTGTGGACATGAGTGGCAAGTACAGAGCTTATTCGTTTGCATTTGCCTTCTCGTCTGTTTGGATCGATTTGTACAATAATTACAGCTTATATTTGTCAAAGAACATTTTGTCGCAGACTCTGAAGTAAAAATGTCCAGATCAAAAGACATCTCGAAGCAACTTGGCTGCGAATGCCAAAGCTTCTATAACATCCAATCAAGACGCAAACTATTCACAAAACGATACCATCCACATGATCCAGAATATGCGACCAGTCCGTGCCAGCAGTACATGAATGAACCTGATATCTCATTGGATCAATAAATTACTTGGTGATCTGACCTCTTTAATGACATTTCACGTCACAACCAACAGAAATGGTGCAAGATGATAGCTACATTCGATGATTAACCTGGACCTGAACGCCTGCAATAACAGTGTATCAGGTAAAATAACTGAAGGGATGGGAAGACCCTAGAAACTTCACATTTAAATTCATTTCGTTTCATCTTTTCCTTTCTCCTCGCAGCTCCCGTTAGCAGCATCCCCACATTTCATCCGAGTCTCTAATTCCTTCATGTGTCAAAAATTTACTTGTACCAGCCTTCCAGAAGCTTGTGAAGTGCAAAACAGAAAGCACAGCTTCCAACCTGCACAAACTCAGACAGTTTTCTGTGAGTACATTAAACCAAACAAATTTTACCGTTCTAGCCATTCGTCTGAATGAACATTTACATGTATAAGTGAAGTAAATGCTTGAAAAGATCAAAGCTGCTTTATTGTACTCACCTGAAATATTAGAAGGCGGATACATAGTGCTGGCTCCGTACATCGGCCAAAGGTGCGAAGGAAAAGATTCACTAGATTCAGGTCATTACTGCCGGTGAGTAGCTTCGTTTTTGGATCAAAGCTGTTTGAAACAATGGAAGGCTCGACGTCAGCTTTGTAAAATGTGGAACGGATAGAATAATTGATTTCACAGATCACAAAACTGACATACAATCATACCTGGGAAGGCGATGTCGTGGACAATATACAAACTTGAATAACTGTCATGAAAGAAGTCCATATTAGTATAGATAAATTAGAAGAAATCAAGTACACAGAGAACTAGGGGATTAACCCAAGCAGGACGCCTGAGAGAGACTTTCTGAGGTGGGGGAGAAATAACAGAAACGATGTCTCTAAGAGTACGAGCTGTAACAATGTTTGATCAAACTGATTAAATTCAGGTAGTATTTATATTTCTTAAGCAGAACTTAAGAAAAGTATTCCAGGAAGTAAAGCATCGATTCTATAAGACTCAGACATGCTCATTTCACCAACCTGAGGCACAGAGTACACGAAGTTGATAACCTGAGGTAAGAAAAACACCAGCAAAGTTTCACTGGAGCAAGACCAACGAAAGACAATGAGTGTCATGCTGTATAATGAGGAGAACATAAACAAAACCGAAATCCCCAAAACATTACAATTCTATTCAACATCCGAAATTCGAAAAGATATTTGGCCATTTGAAGTTCTAAAAAAAATTACTGACCTAAAATGACCCAATATCCCCACGACCGCCAGGGCCATGCCTGCAAAGTAAGTGAAAGTATCACCAACAAATACCGACGACGGATACCTGTGCAAGAAATTATAAATAAATTAGTGACTGAATCTGCCATCGCTACGACTTATAGTATCTGCAACATACAGATGGATCCATCAAAACCTGCTGTAAAAATTGATGTATTCAGGCGAGTGATTCCAGACTTACCAGTTAAAGGCAAAAAGAGCAAGGGATGCCCCTACTAATGGCTGCATAAGGAAGATGGAAAAGCAGTGTGCTTCCTGTCTCAAGACGTCTTCCTCTGTTTCAATGTATAAATATTGTCTTCCCATTCTCATGATATTGAAAGTAAGGACCTACATGATCAGTACAGAGAAAGATTTTCGTCCGATTATTCACATGATAAATGCCATTTAGTCAAATCCTGACGCAGGCTCAAAAATATGAGAATCAAAACATTTATACATAACTCGATACTACGATCAACACATGACTGTTAAAGATGAAATAAACACTCTATCACTTTGAAATCAATACTTGAAAAACATAGATGAAGATAGAAGATCGATCTTGAGTGCCAGCATACAACCTTACTTTGGATAAAATTGGTTGTGAAAAATCTCAAGAAGTTCAAATTACATCTCAAATACAGAGACTAACAAAGCCTAACAATATTTGTTCGGTTTGTAGAGTTCTTGAATATCCTACCGCACAGGCGATGATTATAGTTTGGCCAACTTCCAAACCGTTGACTCCAGCCAGAATATTCACAGAGTTGGTGCAGAACACGGCAAGGAATCCCATGTAGAGCTTGTAAACCCAGCCTGGAATAATAACATAAACTTCAAAGAGGGCCATGTTCTTTTAACTACTTTCATGCAATCAAGTCTATCACATTACAGAATGTTAACACATTTTTTTCTAAATGATTCACACAAACCTAGCTCCAAAAGATGCGTTCCGACTAGGCCTTGCAGAGGTTTCGGTATCAAGATAGTCGTCGGACCGGCATAGGCCATCAACAACGGAAGAGCTGCGATAGATGGGAGCAAAAGCTTCCTGCAATAAATTAAAAAACCATCAAATCTGTAAGAGGAGGCTCCCACCCACATTTAAGTAGAACAGTCAAATGAATACTATCTAAGCGACGGCAGAAGTAAACAAGCAGATGGAGAGACTGAACGTACACCCGCCATGGGAGGTCGAGAACATCGTCAACGAATCCGAGAAAGAGCATAAAGCATATGCACATAAGCGCAGCATTATATTCCGGAAGCCACTGCACACCATATGAGAAAAGGGGACTTAGAATTCAAGTATACAACAGCAAGCACTGTGTGTACTCTAGCAGCTGTGTGAAGCCCTCTCACCTCATTTCTTGAAACACTAGATTGATGTTTCTCAGGCCCTCCCGATTGAACTACCCTGATCACTAGTATCAACAAAAAAACCTATGATGTTTACCACTGCCAAAGCTGGAAATACCGCATACAGAGTGCTCAGGATTGAAGAAAAACGGCTGGAATACGATTGCGACCGTCAGAAAAACGATCCCCGTCACCAATCCCAAAGACTCCGGCCTGCGCAAATTAAGTACAAGCTTCAGCGTATACACTACATTACAGACATGAATTGATGTAGACCAAAAAAATCGAATCAGATGATGCTTAAAGGCAAAACTGATGGTTGTACATGAAATGAGAAGAAAACTGCGGACCGTCGTACGTGATGTGAATTGATCAAATTGAAGCTCAAAACAATAAGAGATTAACAGTATCCAATTTACTTACACTTTCAAAGTGCCTGCTTCTGATCCCTTCTTGTTGATGTCATAACCGAACATGTTCTTTCTCAGTAAGTATCTGGATGCAACGGGTATCAACATAATTGTCAAGAAAAAACCGCCGATGCTCATCACAAGGTTCACGAAAATTGAGCGCCTGATGCCTTCCTTCAGGTCCACCGTGAGCAGCATATAGACATAAGGCGCCAAGCATGACAGCGCCAGCAAAAGCACAGGTTTCTTCTTCATAGTGAGGGCAGGGGCATCATCATTCTTCTTCTCAGAAAAATCCTTAACATCAGCTGCAGCTTTCAATTCTGATGTGTCTTGTTTCTTCCTCTTCTGCACTGCAGCCACATCCCTCGCCATCTGAACAAGTCCCCTTCAAATTTCGACAAGGGACTCGAAAAAGCTGCACCCGCCTTCACAAGTCCGCGGAACAAAAATCTCAAAAATGCATACAGGCTAATGTACGGAGCTCAAGATCGGGGCTATATATGACAGACGAGGGCCAACTGACGGGAGGCGGGCTATATATAGTGATTAAATTCTTCCCCGAAGTATTGCAGCCAGAGAGATCGTGCGAAATGGACCAATGGGCTCGATGAGACAGCAGAAATTCGACTATTCGGGCCCGGATGCGCACTTTCGGTCCTTCTTCCTCCCTCCCTCGTCTCTCGTGTTCTTGACTCGGTTCATACGCGCACTCCTGACTTCTGTACATGTCGGATCTCACACGGAGCCGGGAGTTTTCCGTCCGTTTCTCCACAAGTCATGTGCCCAATCTGGACGACGTCGTCGACCTCCCCCGCCCTATCGTACTGTACGATAGGAATGGATGTACGATTCGTACATCCATTCACATTTCCAAGTCTTGTAGCTTTTAACTACAGATTCAAATGTTTTTCAACCCAAATCCAGAACATGTCTTAAGTTCACCTCTCGATCTATCAAATTTAGCAACTCCTCCTACGGGAGGAGGAATTCTAAGATCGATTTGTAGTGACGACTCGATTAAATTGCAATTGATATTTATTTCGAAGCTTGAATGTATTTCTTTCTGCTCCTTGACGACAGATTTAACATATATACTATATTTGTAAAGTTGGAACATGATGTGTAAATGTAGTTCCCTCCTCAATAGAGGTAAACAAAATCGATGTACAGTAATTTACTCATCAGCGATTGAGGGTGAATGTAATTTGTGTTCGTGGTGAAGTAACGACGAGATGTAGTCGAAATTGTGTCTTGTAGTACATTTTCGGAAGTCCAAAACCTTCCTGGCCAATGGAGAAGGGAGCGGTGACTCATTGCTTTGACATTTCGACTTACTGCATTGTCTGAGTAGATTAGCGATTTTGGAAAGTTGTATGAATCTCGCTATACCTCTAATATATAAATAGATAAGTTTCTGAATGGACCAATCAAAAGACGTCGAGTGACGGAGTTTGGCTTTTATAGGTAAAACGGAGGTCATGCTTTCACATTGGTATGAACATTGCACCAGGATGGGATGCTACACATCGCGAGATATGTAGCTTTTAGCTTCAAATATCCAATATATTGTGACATATGTTGCCCAATCTCGTGATTGGAATTTTGAAAGCTAAAAGTCCCATCCACGGGATTGGACAATATATGTCACTATTTATGAAACAAAGTCCCTAGATAATGTAGAACCATATGGAAAGGAGGTATTCAGCAGTTACAAAAGTTTAAAATTAAGTTTTTGAAATTGAAGTTTAGAGAGTGAAAATTGGACGTGTAAGAGAATCTGAACTTAGAGCTTCTAGCTTCTAGAAGATTTTGATGCTAGAAGCAAGGTTGGATTTGCAACTATTCATGTTTCTTCTTGTTAAGAGCTTCTTAGATACATATGATGATTATAAATTTGATTGTATCAGTTGTTAGCAACTTGAGATCATTCAAACTATCTATGTTTTACTTTTTACAATTGAAATTTTAATTACGATTGATAACTCTGTATACAATCTGATATAATCTAAACTTTACTCTAGTTGTTGATTTCAATGGAAAAAAATTTCTCAAAATTGGTATTTGGAAATTGCACGTTATATTTTTAAATTTTTGTATAGAATGATTGATTAATAATACATCAAATATATTTGAATTTATTTATAGTAAAATGAAATATTTCTTTTGAAAATTAGCATGTATATCAAATTTTGTATATATGTTAAAAAATTATAATGTACGATTTTGTGATGTTTGCAACATAAGATTTCAATGCTATGCAAATCCCATCAGAATGTAATTATATACATATAAATGAGTAGAAAATAAGTATTATTGAGGTGAATCAATTCTCAATTGGTTTTTTAAGCTTAAATATTTGATCATTTGCTTATGAATGATGATCATTAGTTGAATCAGGGAGTTTAAATTATCTTTTGGAACAGAAAATGTTGGATTTATTAATTGATGATGTAGGTTATGGGTTTGATAATGTTTTGTGTTTAGAATCAAGAAGATAAATCAATTGAAAAATTTTAAAATTTGAGAATAATATTTCTCACTTGATGACAGATTACAAGTGGATGAGCACTAACAAGTTGCCAGATTACAATAGCTTCAAAAAGATAGTATTTTGTTTAAGGTTTGTGTAATAAAAAAAAAAAAGTGTTTATCCTATGAAAATGCACAAGTGATTCATTTTTCATATAAAATAAAGATAATGAGTTAAAACATAATTCACTAATTTGAAGATTAGTCAAAATATTAGTATAAATAAAATAAAATAAAATTTCAATAGAAAATTATTTTTTATTTATAGGAGAATTTTTTTAAATAAATAAATGAGATTATTATTATACACATATATGATAAAATATGATATATTTCATACATGACATAACATAGACATGATAAATTTATATCACAAAAAAAGTTGCAATTGAGCATGAGAATATTTCACTTATTTTGATAACAAAAATTATATTATGACTTAGATACTTAAATATATGAGAAAATCAAATGAAATATTGCACAATTCAATTTCATGATAATAGTTTGTTGTGTATGTAGATCCAACTTTGTTTATGATGAACTCTAGATCATGATGCTTAGATTCATTGCTGATGTTAATCAAATTCCTCGCGGAAGGTGTTTGTTCAAGAGTGGAGTAATTGATTTATACTATGTATTTATGATGATTGTGAGTTCAACAAACTAAGATGAAATCAGTCTAGACTATTTACCCATTCTGAATGAATGATGAGTATAACTCTTGCTGCTTGTGGGTTACCCTAAACCCTGAGGCATATATCCAGCCGAAGTCTGCTGCCCTTGAATGACTGGTGCTTTATAAGCCCTCCAACATTTGAAGCACAGGATCTCTTCGAAAGTTTTTATTTTTATTTGAGACAAAATCAAAACTAAGAACGGAAGCTAGCAATCCAGAGAGCACGGAAAAAGCTCCCTAAAATACAACATTTGAATGTAACAATTTTGAAAAACAAGGTCCAATCATTCAATTCAGGTAAAATGACTGAATGATTTCAAGCTGTAGCTGCAGGAGTATGGGTATTATTCCTAACCGAAAACGAGCCTCGCACGGCGCACTTGTTACAAAGACAATAGAACCTAAAATGGACGAAACACCTGATGAATGAAAACTAGATCTTCCTACTAAGAAATAAGCCGCCAAGGCCCAAAAAATCGCACAAATGTGTTCATTCAGTTTATTTGATGCTTTATCTTCGGATTTCACCCCTATAAACAAATTATAATGGTTTCTTTCGTTTTAATGGTAACAAGTAGAAAATTATGATGTTTATAGAAATGGGAGACCTCCAACCACAGGTTCCCTAGCCTGTGTTGAAATTTGCTTTTACTAAGAAGCTTTTAATGAAATGTGAGAAAACTTTAACATTATTATCAAAGTCATGACTTTAGATAACAAAACTTGGTAAATAACTACATTAGGGGAGATATATATTATAAATCTTTTGTATAGTTCAAAGAGAGAGTAACAACTAAACATTTTGAGTTTTCTTAAAATTTAAGCAATTTTTTCTTATTAGTTAGTCCCACACAACACCTATTCCTTTCGAACGGGAAAACCTAGCATGAGATCAGAATAAGTTTAAGCGTCCTATGCAAGGAAGTATCACGCGGCCCTAGTTTCATCCTAACCCTTTGGTTTCATCCCCAGTTAAGATGTGATACCCAGAGCTTCTGCTGTGAGGGTAACCAGGTCTCAGACTCCATTGTTGTGTACGAAGGTAAGTCATGGAGGGTTTCTTCCTGTCATATGGCAACTGACGAGGTGGAAGACTGTGGACTCGAGGAAGTCCTTGCCTTCCAAGCATGGAAGTTGCACACAGTTTGTTGTCGAGAACACTACCATATAAACACTGGATCCGGTCGATTCGGAGATGAAATCTTAGACATAACCATAATCGGAGAAGGAAATTTAATGAGGGTTTTAAGATGTACAGAGGCGGTAGAAGTGCAGGCATTTTACATAACAACGAACTCAATTTTGAACCGTCTCTTTCCTATGAAGATCAAATTGAAGAATGGATCTTTTGCAAATTTTGGTCAGGGAATAATAAACCGGTTTGTGATGATCAAGAACGATGTCTGTCTTCCAAACTTTCCAAATTTTGACAGAGATGCAAGTCTGGTGAAGAGTTTGTAGACTCTGTGCAATGTGGAAGACATTCAGGTAATCCCTGTTTTGGTAGGCTGTTCTCAAATTACATTCTTCCATACAAACGTTTCCGGAGCTTAATTCGCTGCTCAACATGGCAGTGATTTGACAACTGGAAAGTCGCCCACGTTGTAATTTAAACAGATCGCGAACCTTTAGCATCGAATGCTAGAAAAGTCGTATATTTCCAAACGAGGAATACAAAGCCTTGACTGTGAAGAATGCCAGAGTCCTCTAATCCGGAATCCCCCAATAAATCGACTAGTTAGACCGAAGCCACGTATATTTCCAAACGAGGAATACAAAGCCTTGACTGTCAAGAATGCCAGAGTCCTCTAATCCGGAATCCCCCAGACTAGTTAGACCGAAGCCACGCAGATCAGAGTCCTCTAATCCGGAATCCCCCAATAAATCGACTAGTTAGACGAGGAATACAAAGCCTTGACTGTGAAGAATGCCAGAGTCCTCTAATCCGGAATCCCCCAATAAATCGACTAGTTAGACCGAAGCCACGTATATTTCCAAACGAGGAATACAAAGCCTTGACTGTCAAGAATGCCAGAGTCCTCTAATCCGGAATCCCCCAGACTAGTTAGACCGAAGCCACGCAGATCAGAGTCCTCTAATCCGGAATCCCCCAATAAATCGACTAGTTAGACGAGGAATACAAAGCCTTGACTGTGAAGAATGCCAGAGTCCTCTAATCCGGAATCCCCCAATAAATCGACTAGTTAGACCGAAGCCACGTATATTTCCAAACGAGGAATACAAAGCCTTGACTGTCAAGAATGCCAGAGTCCTCTAATCCGGAATCCCCCATAAATCGACTAGTTAGACCGAAGCCACGCAGATCAGAGTCCTCTAATCCGGAATCCCCCAATAAATCGACTAGTTCGACCGAAGCCACGCAGATCACCGCCAAGAATGCCAAAAAAATTTGGACCATTTCTCGATTTGTGCGTGAATGCCAGAGTACTCTAATCCGGAATCCCCCAATAAATCGACTAGTTCGACCGAAGCCACGCAGATCACCGCCAAGAATGCCAAAAAAATTTGGACCATTTCTCGATTTGTGCGTGTCATCCTTGCGCAGGGGCCATGCTAATCTTCTCTGTATCGTTCCAATTTTATCGGATGTCCCCGAAGGGACGAGAGGTGCGTTGCAGCTGGGGTTTATATACAGTGAACATGAAAACTTTCGAAGCTTATAGTTTTATTTTTTTAACGATTCTGACACGTGTCAAAGTTAGCGAACGGAAGTATTCATCGAGTCCCATGATTACGGGTCCTGGACGTGGTCGCAGAAGTTGAACCGCCCAGTTGAGCCGAAGGGGAAATCGCGATTCGAAGAAGCTCTTTATGCTTTGTCGGCCCGTGCTCGAGAGAGCGTGGAGTTTTAACGACTTCATCCGTCTCCATCCCAAACGGACCACGCTGATTTATAATTACACGTAGCTTATACCTGTAATAATACATGGCTAGGTGTACCAATCCTGACACAAGCGTGCATCAAGGTTGGTGATCCTGTCTCTAGCACACACAGAATGTGGGCAGATGAGCGTTACAAATACATCGACGTTGGTCTGTTGATGGGTCGATGTGAGAAGGAGCAACATGGATGGTTTCTCAGCGAGAGTTCATTCGAGTCCAGTGTCACTTGCGCCTGCTTTTACTTTTCACAATCTATTATCAGCAATTGGACCGACATGGTGAACCGTGATCCCAATATGCTGTCCCTCCACCTAATAGTTGCTCAGTTCCATCACGTGAGAATCAGAACTTCCTGCTAAGGTTTTCGTGGGTTTAGTGATGTACAATTTTCTGTCGTCACCAAATTAGGGACAGCTGATGACTCTTTGAAGTTTGGCAAATATCCATTTTAGCTTCTTCTGTGAACGCTTCTTTGGATTTTTTCGTTCGGAAGTCCATTGATTTTGAGCTAGTTGTATCTGATAACTTTGATATGTTAGTTGCACATCGGATAAGAGTACTATAGTGTATTGGAGCCCTCTTTTGCACCACGACTTGAATGATTTGAACAATACACAATTTGACTATTCTTAAGATCATTTATATATGTAAATGAGGTTATTTAAATCTTTGAAATTTATATTACGGGTTAAATATCATGATAAGTGATGACAAGATTGCATTCGTCTCATTTTTAGCATGACAAATTACATGAAAATCAATCTTGGAGGGACAGTTCACAAGTGTTCCCCTTACATTAGTGAGAGAACACTTTGAGATCTCTCGTCTGGTTCTCAAACACCTGGGAAACACTTAAGATACTCGTAAATGCGTTGTAAGTAAGCGCATTCTGGATAAACACAAATCCCTTTAAGAAGCTTATGGTCTTCAATATAACTTTCGATCATCGTCCTTTACGATAATTTGAAGGTATATAAGTTCCAACAGTTGAGGAGGTTCCTTCTGATCTACCGGCTGATGGCTGACGTTTAGAGCTTCGTTATGTTCACGTAGGAAGTAAACACTTGCATGTCCTTCATGGTGGCCAGTACTGGACCTTTAATACGTTGATATCACACGCTTAATTATTCTTATGGAATCTTTGGGCCTCTGTACAATATTCTTACAAACCTTTAGATGCTGTCATGGAGATGAACACACAAGCAATGACTCCTCACTCTCGCTATCGTGTAAAGCGAGGGTATAATCAGACCAAAAAGCATTCCCTTCTCGATGAACTTGTAGCACTGGCCTGGCCATGACAAGTGTATCACGTCCCTTCTAATTTCATGTGCGTTGATTGAAGCCTTTCTTCTCAACAACAAATCTCGACCAAATAGTCTTCGTTATAAAAACCGAACATGATGGGAACATTAAAGAAAGGTTGGATGAAGTGACTTAAATAAAGTAATCATCTTCTGCAATGATGCAATTTTTGATGATCCGAAGGCCTCCGTCTGGCTGAGGGACCGAGTAGTCCTCAGGCAGTACTCTGTACCTAACTGAACGTGCACCGACGAACACTGGCCTATTGTCTTCTGAAAAGTATATACAATTCGGTGAGTGATTGATTGACTGACTGGCGGGTCTGACAGAACGAATTGTACTTTCCTCACCTTCTCTCCTTCCCGTGTATAAAATTATCGACCAGAAAATTTGCGCAGCAGAAAAGCAGATTGTTGGATACTTTCTTTGCTTCTTCTTGCTCTGCGTAGTGCGAATGGGCTTTTGTAAAGTAATGCGAATCACGCTGTTCGTCTCCAGCGTGTTACATTTTGCAAGTCCTCTCTCGGCATTTCAGTTCCCCCTCTGAGAGTTACTCTGGATAGAGAAAAATGACAGCTGAAGCTGAAGTCAATTTCACAGAGTCAGGTACTCTTTTGAATCATGATCTGAGCTATCGTAGAGACGTTTTCCTCGGACCTGACTTCCATTCTTCTGCGAACCGCATTTACGATGGATTTTGACACCGCTGCACGGTACACCATGTCCTCTGTACAGTGCTGATTTGGAGAGATAACGTTCTCCTCGACTCTTCGGCTCATGGTTGTTCAGGTCCCTTAAGGCAGTGAGCACACGAGAGTCTTGGATTTTATGCAGAACCTCATTGTCTAGGACGTTTCCATTCGTTGGAATCTGGCCGGCAACCATGATCGACATTCAGACTCTAACTTCTTGTTATGGAACGCTTGACGATGTGCTTTTCTGATGTCACTGAAGAGCACCGTCTGCTTTCTTCTTCCGAGAAGTGGGAGTTTGTTGATCTGAGATTGTCAACAGAACGAGCTGTGCGGTCACGGGACGATCTTCTGCAATCTGTGCCATCATATACGTAACAGCTTGGATCAGAGTCTGCAGAGGCTCTTCGACGAAGAAGAGGGAAAAGAGCCCTCTCTTGCTCTGGACATTTTACTGCACACTAGGAACTGCATGGGAAGATGAAATCTATTACTGGTGCTGGAGGTCGAAGCTTTGAAGGACGACGACCCCGACAGCCTGGCCACTTTGCGTGAGTATTATAAAGTCAATTTAGCATGAAGAATGAAGCACCGTAGTTTCAATTTGATATAATAATTCACTTTCTTTTGAAATCTGTAACCGCTGCTCAGAGAGGAGAATTTTCTTTCTTCACCAAGTTTAGCCTTGCACATGCGATGGACATTGTATCGTCGGGCTTAACGGTGTCGTACTGCAGGGAAGAGGTGGAATCAGATGAAAGCTTCGGCCATAGGAGATCACCGCCGAAACGGTCATTGAGCTCGAAAGCACTTGTGGCAGCGGATGAAGACGAGGACAAGTACCAGAAAGCTAAACTTTTTTCTCGGAAAATTGGCATCCTCCTGCTCTTCGCAGGTGCTGCTACGGTTTTGGTACTCCTGTATCCAGGTTCTGGGAATGGCAGTGAAACTGGTAATCCTGAGGAACAGGAGCAGCAGAACGAGTTCGAGCACAATGCCATCTTCACCGAAAGGTTTCCTTCTCCCCCTTGGCGCAATGCCTGCTTGGAAATAGATATGAAAACTTACTTACTAGTCTTTGAGCCCACTCTGTGTATCTTTGTTAGACATGTGCTAGTAGAAAGAGCTTGAGTAGTCGTCGTTGCTTTCCTTGGCAGACCAAAAATCAATCTTCCCTCATAAGTACCCTTCCTCTCAATCTCCTATATAATATTCCTTCCCTGGAGCTGTCGAGCAATATCAAGAGATTCTTCAATTTGAATACAGTGAGCTCAGTTCATTCTCTGTACTCCAAATTTCGCCAACGTAAGCTTGAATCCACGCTCAGAGAGGACGTAAACCGTGGCAAATGGATGTCTGCCTTCATAAACCCGTCGATTAAATCGTGAAACATTCAACAGTCGTCGCTGGAATTCGACGAAACCAATCAGGAATGTTGCACATCCATCTCTTCGTCACTTCGTGATGCGTGTCTTCGACAGAAAATATGCATTCAGATAAGACATAAGTCACAACAGGGGCAACAGTGAACTCGCTTGGTCCTGTTCTACGTAGGTAAAAAACATGAAAGAGTTGGTTTTTCGGGTATTGGAAAATAAAGGATTAATTCGCCATCAAATATGGACAACAGCAGAGCAGAGCATTCATATCTTAGATCTTTGCAATTTCTGTTCCAAGTCAGTTTTCTATTACACAGATCAAAGATGTAGCTTAACCTGGGGCTCGGAGGACGAGTTACGAGATGTGAGCCCTTGAGATTCCAAGACTGCGCAACCAAGGTGATAGCGATTGTGATGTGAATCCACTGAAGGGTGGAGACTCGTCCTTGACAGAGATGGCACAGATAACAGAGACCAGGTGTACACGTTCAAAACTTGATAGTTATCGTCTCCTTGACATTGCGCAGGTCTGCGGAAGGTTCACTGCCAGGGTGCACAGCGAGCAAGTCGTCATTGAGAGCGAGGTTTATGTACTCAAGTTTTGGAACGGGTTATTCGAATTGTGATCTCCCGAAAGGAGCATCAGTTCTTCGTTGGATGAAAAGTCAGTTTCCACATCATGGAAGCTTGAAGATCGGGTTGGTGAACATCGATGGGGAGGACGTGCGGAAATGGACCCAGTACACTCGAGGATGGGGCAAGGTTCACAACTTTCCCTTCCGATCAGCGTCCTCCCTTGGCTTGAACTGGTCCGATTTCTACCCTGAATGGATTGATGAGGAAGAGACGGATTCCATTCCCAAGTGCCCTCATCTTCCGCTGCCTTCTGTAAGCAGTGGGGTCAAGCTCGACGTGATCATTACCAGAGTTCCTGGTGATTGTGGTCCAGGCACGAATTGGAGACGTGACATCCGTCGCTTTCAGATTCTGCTGGCAGCTGCAACCGTGGCCAGCCAAGCTCAGAGCATGGTGGTCGTCATCATCAGCAATTGCCGGCCTCCTCTTAACCTCTTCACCTGTGACGAACTTCTGAAGCGGCGTGATGATGTTTGGCTTTATCTGGTGGACTTCCACGAGCTGCAGAAACGCCTGTCCGTGCCTGTCGGATCTTGCGAGCTGGCCTTCCCTCTGGACCTACATGCAGCCAATTCTTTCGGTAAGGAAGAGCATTTCCTGAAGAATCTCATCCATGCTTAAGCTTCACTTACAGCAGCTCCATACGATCTCGTTCTCCACCTTCCATTTGCTGGCTGATCGGACTTAACCCAGTTTACGAAATCACATTTTTTCTCTCTCGCAGAATCGAGGAAAACCTGCAGTCCCTCCTTGACGATATTCATAGTGATCGGTTCATAGAAACAAAAATGCTTCCCCTAAATTCTAATTATTGTTTGGTTTTGAGGTGCAAACTGTGTCGGATTTGGGATGTGAGCGATCAGATTTGATATGTGACTGCCGATTGCCACTGCATGCATTTCAGGTACAGAGGGAGGGTGGAGAAGCAGAAAATCTTCGGTGAGAGCGCATCGAGAGGCTTACGCCACCATACTTCACTCCGATGGGCTGTACGTGTGTGGAGCGATCGTGATAGCACAGAGCATCAAGTTGACAGGGTCGCAGCGGGATCTTGTGGCGTTGGTGGATGCCAGCATCACCGCGCAGCAAAGGCAGGGCCTGCAAGACGCAGGCTGGAAGTTGCAGGACATTGAGAGGATACGAAATCCCAAGTCTGAGCCGCAGAAGTACAATGCATGGAATTACAGCAAATTCCGGCTCTGGCAGCTCGTGCAGTACGACAAAATAATATTCATCGATGCGGATCTTTTAGTCCTGCGCAACTTGGATTCTCTGTTCGACCTGCCCGAGCTCTCGTCCACGGGCAATGACAAGTATCTGTTCAACTCCGGTGTGATGGTCATCGAGCCTTCCAACTGCACCTTCAACCTGCTCATGGATCAGATACCCGAGGTCGAATCGTACAACGGCGGAGATCAGGGATTTCTGAACGAGATCTTTCCGTGGTGGCACAGAATTCCCAGGCGCATGAACTATCTGAAGTTCTTCTGGTCGAACTCGACGGAAGAAATAATCGAGAAGAACGAGCTGTTTCAGGCCGAGCCTCCTCTCCTCTACGTCATACACTATCTGGGTGTGAAGCCATGGCTCTGCTTCCGAGACTACGATTGCAACTGGAACACGGAAGACTCTCGGAAGTATGCCAGTGACATCGGACATGCTCGCTGGTGGAAAGTACACGACTCCATGTCCCCGGAGCTTCAGCAGCACTGCATGCTCCGTACCAAGCAAAAAGCGCAACTCGAGTTCACCAGAAGGCAGGCCGAGGCCGCTCACTTCGATGATGAGCACTGGAAGATCAACATAACGGACCCCAGGCTCCAAATCTGCAACGAGAGGTTTTGCTATTGGGAAAGCATGCTCTGGCATTGGGGCGAAAACCAAACCGTAACATTGCCGGCGGCGCAAAGAAAGGCTTCCGGAGCTCGCCAGCAGCATCTACCATCTTGACAACTGCAAATCCATTAGAATGACTGCGTATATATCAGCTTCACGTCGCTCCTTCGTGTCAATGTTGTGCGCTCATCTTGTAAAAGCCGGTCGACTCGAGCACATGTGCATTTGACAGATGTGAGAACGGGTAGCAGTAGAAAGAAAACCAGGCTTGCTGCGATCAGTGTAGACTATTCAATTCGGCTTGAAGCCGACCAGACTTTTGTTATCCTCGCTCAAAGAGCAGACCCTGCCTTGTATTTGGAAGCAAGAATATTACTCACCTTACTTCATTTTTGTTCCTTCACATAACCTCTTGCGCAATCATCCTTGACTACGATGACTATGTCAACTGATATGATTGTTGATGACACTTCATATGCTTCTGTGGTTTGTATACTTGATGCATATTGGTAGTGACAATTATCAAATTTTTTCTTACCGATCTGTAGGTGAGCGTTCGTTTGTTACATACTATTGTCTACGTCATGTTTGTTGTAGATATAAAATAAGTATTATGATTAAAGTTTAATACAGTTCCATTGTTTTTCCCCTCAGTGTTACGGTGTTGTTAAATATTATCAAAAGATTATATAGGTTTTTTAATTAAAAAGAAGAGTATCAACTGGATGATGATAGTTTCTCCCGTTTTCAAATATTATCTGATATATCCGACAAGATTGCATTTTTTCCCACTTTTTTGTCGGTTTAAATTTTTATTGTCGGTTTTAATTTCAGTTTTTTTTGGCAATTTTTTGTAAGAAATGAAATATTCTGCTTAACATTCTTCATTCGAAACAGATATTAATGTTATTACACTCAAATTTCATTTACAGAGTTTTACTTTGTGATTCTAAGATTCCAAAAATTTACGAGTTTATGAGTCATAAAGCAACAAACTGAAATCAACCTTCTGAGCGCAAATTGAGCGTGTTTTCTACCCGTCCATCGAGGCGAGGGATTTGGGAGACGGTTGTCGCGAAAGCATACAGATTATGTGGGACAGAAGTTTCGACATCAAAATTTCAAGGGTAATCAAGAACAATGCCCCAGCTGGTCTGATCCATATATTCGCATTTACTGCATGGCATAATAGTTGCACAACGCCTGAAAACTGTCCTAAGGAATATTAGCTCGCTATAAACTCCACTCGCGTAGGCCAGTACTCGTCTTGCTTACGGTTGAAGACCAGGACGAATTCGCATTCTATCTACTGATCATCACTTGAAGCTGATGCCTGCAACCGACAACACAGAGGAGCATAAGTTCATCGAGAGAAAGAGAATAGTGACGAGATCCAAACACTTGGATACGATCAAAAGGAAAGCGGCTTGGTGATAGCAATGGTATACCTTTGCATTTGTAGTTTTTGGGGATGCTTCGCTTGCACTTCTTGGGAAGAGCAAGAGCTGCAGAAATGTTGGGCTTAAATCCCGGTGGAGGCTTGGCCGATGTAAATGCGTCGCACAGGCAGTCGAGGTTTGCCTTCTTCACAACCTTGCAGCATGCAGCGTCTGGTGCTGGAGGTTTCGACCCAATCACGGCTTTCAAGCAGGGCTTCAGAGCACCGAGGGGATCCTTTCCGCAGTTCTTCTTAGAAGCAGCTTCGCTGACGTGCGAGAATGCAAGGATTCCCATGAGAATGAGTGCCACGACGAGGGCACGAGTAGTCGCCATTGCAACCTGCACGCATTAATGGTGAGCTATCGGAAGTAGAATGGGTTCCCGACATACAGAGCAACGAAAGCGTGACACAAGTACAGGAATGAATCTCACTTGAAGCCAAATCACAATTCAGTTCGACGTTTACCTGAATCAATAGAAGCGACGAGTCTATTACTGGTGTTCGAAGTTTGATCTTCCTCGAGACTACCAGAGAAGAGAAGAATGTGAGACGATAAGCTCGGTAAGGAGTCGAACTTATAGTGTTGTGGGATGACTAGTTGCTTTCTGGGCAGATGATTCTAGTGAGAGAAATGAATGCTAGAATCATACGGCGATGTTGCACACTGTCGAAGTCAAAGGCCGCTCATGATTCCACCAACGCAACCTCAAGAGACATTGATTGACGTTCCACACTTTTCGTCAGTAAACTGGGCCACGGTGGCACCATATGGCCCCAGAGAGGGTGCATCTGACTGGTTTCCTTAAGTGTACAGTGCTTCTTAATCGGGATAATATTGATCTGAAAGCCAGAGAATGTTTCATTACTGAATGGAAATGAAATCCGATATTCGAAAGTCATCAAATCATACGATTCTGCAAGGCTTATTTCCGTAGAAGTAGCTACGAGCTGCTTAGCCGGTCATAAATCCTGCTAATTCCAGCTAATTCTAAAACGTCGAAGTGTTATTGCAGGTCTCGTATGGAATTTCGTGATTATGACTGTCAGGTCCTCGTGCCTCCATGTGAAGACAAGTGAGGCATAGTGATCGCTGCTGTTGTGACACGGGAAGCCTTATCGCTGCTGCTGAGCAGGTTGAGATGACTTGACTTGGAAGCTTTGAAGTCCAAATCCGTCAGAGGTGGTGGGTCTGGAGTCAACGATTTCTGCTGCGAAGGCCGTGCTTCGAGTGCTTCGAGTGGTTGAGTGTCTGGGCGTCTGCTGACTCACGCCGTCTAGAACGACCTCCCCATTTCTTTCGGGAAGAAAGCGACATCTCTAATAACTCTCTCTCCTTGGTTTGGTGAGCAAATCCAGCCGCTACAGTTCAGTCTCCCGGAGGAATTCTGTCGGGAAAACTCCGGGAGACACTCAGGAAAATATAACGGGTAAAAGTATTTCATAGAATTTATACATTTTTTCATGCATGTAATAATACAAAATTAGTTGTATTCAGGTTTATTTATTTCAGTTAAAAAGATAAATTGAGAGGTTAAAATTTTTTTTTACTGCATATAAGATATATATATATATATTATATGATTGATAGCTAGTATCAAAGGTTTTTGCTTTCATGATATAGAGTAACAATTTATGTGATCATATTATCACCTTCACAGTTTCATTCAATCATTCATTCACTACTTTGATTTTGTTTGATATAATCAACTTTATGTAACAAGCAATACTAGAATCTACAATCAAAATTTACATTTGAAATATGTGATTTACTATTGTGAGTTACGTACAACTCACGTTTTATTCATAACAAAACACTAGAAAAGATTTAACCAACTCTCTCATATAATTACATTCTAATCAATTTAATTAACTAGGATTAAATCAAGATCTTAATTAAGTCCTAACAATTTTCACGGTAGCTCATGTGTTGGAGACATTACACTCCAAATTTTATTTTATTATTTCGCAAGAAATAATAAAAGGAAACATAACATAGATTATCAGGTTCTTCATCACAATGATAGTTGAATGCATCAGTGAAATACACTTACAGTAGAATACACAACCTACACCGAATGACGTAGTTCATCATTGCATAATACGTAGATGTAACATTCAAGACTTTATGTAGAAAATACTTTAAAAGTATCATCGAGAGCTTTTGCGAGCTCTTTTATTGAATATCATCTTCATTAATTAGATCAAACTTACCTGAATTATCAAAATATCTACATAAAGTACAATCAATCTCCTCCTTAAATTATGTTGTGGGGCCAATGATTCCATAAAATATATAAATATTCAATAAATAAACTTTAGAGAAGAATCTAACATATATCATTTTTACAATTAGGGCTAACCAAAACTTTATCAGAACCAAAATAAAATATTTAAAATATATATAGAGTAAATATGTTGCTAGTAAAATTTATTTGTGTTATTCATACAAAATTTGAAAATATGATAATATCTCCTAAAATTTTGTAAGGAAATAATTTTAATTAAAGCAACAAGTTCAGCTGGATTGAATTATATATCAATCTTAACTAACTCAAACTTCTTACGAGAAACTATAACTTTGATAAAATGATCTGTGATGTGGATAAGTTTCAATATGCTATCCATCATTTGTCACATTGAACACTCAAACAAAATATTACACACCAGCCGAAAGACAACATAAATAATTTGCCACTACAGACTACATCTACGAAAACACACAGATTTATTGCTAAACCCCTAAAATATCACCGAAAGTTTTTGCGAGAGTTTTTATATAATGATATTTAAAACAGTTTCACCAACTAAAATTAAAACTAATCTGAATTATCAGAAGAGCTTTCGTAGACTCGTCCGTTCCATCAAACTCAAGGTGGGGGATCAAGCCGGAAAGTCTTTCCTCATTCTAGCTTTTTTGACACAATTTTGTAGACTTTTCTACAAAAAAGCTTTTACTTTGCCGTGCAGAGAAAGATCAATTTTGCTCTAAATTAGCAGCTTTGTCCTCTTACTAAATCATTCGGGATCCATGAATTCTCAAAACACATTACTAACAACCAGACGTCTCCCCGCCACTGCGAGTGGTGCAATGTGTGACAGAATATGAATGTTCCTACATTCTTTATCAATCCGAATCGGCACGTAAGCATTTAGCTTCTCAGTGTAAGTAGTGGCGGGAAAAAGCCCTATGCACTCACACAGCCTGAAAAATAAGAATTGATTCCTTTTCTTGTTCTCTGAGTGAGACCGACGTTCAGACCTCTGCGCTTTCCAAAGTTCTTCTCAACAGGGCCTCATGATCGTGACAGCTCTCCTCGTTTAGATGTGACTATCGAAAGTGCTAATACTGAAAAGTTGCGTCATCCCCGGATTCTAAGTCTATTTCAGACAGTAATGTGACCTTCGTCGATAATGATCGACGAAGCTCTCGTAAACGAATGCATGTATTACCAGTGAACCTGGCTGATATAAAGACAGTGCTATGGCCTTGTGACATCACTGATGAACCGGTCACTTCCACCGTCGACGCCACCGTCGTGAGAACCATTGATCGGGAGTATTGAGATGCGTATAAAGTAAGTTACATATGGTGAGTATCACTACGTGTATCGCGTTTGTCGTAAAATGCCGTCAATACTTCATTTCTCGCTTGCGTTGGTGTATTGTGTAATGTGAAACGATAATGCGAAACATTTTTCTTCCAGTGTATCATTTCCTTAGCCTTACATCGCTTTTACTTGATGGTGAATGAAGAAAAACCTCACATGAGATACAATCTGGATCCACTAGAGTGATGGTTGCATGATCAAAATGCCTCGTACCGAACATTGCGTAAAGAAGGCGACATAGAATATGCGACTTAGTGGGGTCTTCATACCCTCTGTTTGGAATTAATCGTATCTCTCAAAAAATTTCGCATTTTCAAGCTTCAAGCGTCAACTTTAACTTTAAGGTTTCAACCTTTTTCAACCAATGTGAATGGACAACTCTCTCATATGGTTACATGACTTAAGAATTTTCAATGCAAAACACTTTTCTGAATAGAGGAATTTCTTTCGATATATATGTGCTATATGGTGTGATACTGGGCCTACCTTCAAAAAGTCGACATTTCCAGTAGTAGATTTTATATGATGAATAGTTTACGAGGCGGGGAGGACAGACAGAAAGAATTGGAGAAGAAGAGAAACACAAGCAGTTACTTCGACAGAACTAAACCTCTGTGAACTTGTACAACGGTCAGACATTGAAAGTAACATAACTGTGCCGCCTGTGAATCATTTGGGGACAATTGCTCTTTTGAGAGAAAAGTAGACTTGAAATTTTAGTCACAAATCTACTCAGTTTAAATCCTTTCTTGAAACTAGCCACTCTAGGAGGAACTAAATTATAAACGTTGTAGTGTCAGATTCACAGGCAACACGCACTCTTAGTAAGCCATGAGCTAATAGAAAACCAAAAGCATCCATGAAATGTTGGCAAAAGTACAGAAGTTTAACAGATACTCACAAACGGTAGAAATGTCCTCTTGTTTAGAAGAAAGAAAAAAAAATTCGAGCAGCCAAAACTTTTGCACGCATCTTACAGATTTTAGTGTTACATATCGAGGATTTCTGGCGTATTAAAACAAACTACATGCTGGGGAGTAGTCTGCCGTGATACATCTGATCCAGGAGAGCTTTAGATTCGGGTCTCCTTAGAAGACCCTTGTTATTACCTTCGCCTGTTCCTAAGCAAACAGGACAAACCAACTTCCCACGCCCTGCAATCGCAACCAAAAGAATGTACGTCACTTCATCGTGTAGACTAGTTTTTGAGATCAGTGAACCTACGCTGCAAGGATTTCCCTCTCTACAACTTGATAGACACAGCATAGATCTCAGGAAAAATCGAGTGGTCATTATTGAGTTCGACATATATCTCGGATCAAGAAACAATTACAAACTTGAAGAATTATGCCCTTGTCCAAGAAGAGTAATCAATTGATATCATTAAAAGCGAACGTGCTCGGTGTTCATCCAAGGTAGGGCTCATAATCTTACCGTAGCAATTGGGGCATTCGGTGAACTCATAGACATCTTTCGCCCTCTTTCTATTTAATGCTTTCCACTTTCCTGTTCCTCCACACATATCACCTAAGCGACAAACCACGAAATAAACTCCAGTTAGTGTACAAAACTCACGCCTACCAAAACCCATGAATTCCAGTGAAGATCATTTGTCACACCGATCGAGCACATAGTGTACAGCATTCCGTAGCTATTTTGAACAGAAGTTCAGAAAAAGAGCAAAGGAACAAGTTTAGATTAGGCTCCATACTCCCCTTACAACGAGCTAACAATTCCGTGCTGACAGAGGGTTAGGGAGAGCTCAGAAACTTTCAAAGTACTATCAGTCAGTCACGAAGACAGTTATTTCGTCAAGAGGATATGAAGTTTCTTTGCGTACTACGACGTGTGTAATGCACTTTGTGCACGCAAAGTGGCGAATACTCTAGCAAGGGTAGAAAACAATATCAAATCATAGTTCAAGGTCAGTTCAGCTCACATAGAACAGCTCCAGCTCCTCCACAATTTTTACAACGCGGGCCTGGAACTGGTGCGGAGGGTTCGGCAGCGACGGCTTCGGAATTCTCCCCCGCCATCACCATCCCAATCCCAGCGCACAGACCACACAGCATCTGCCGCCGGGATTTCACGCCGACCTCCTCGTCATCCTCTCTTTGTGACGAGGACGACTCCTGTAGATTCACGGGCCTACCCGCAGAACGGGGCTGGGGCTGCTGAACAACGGGCTCGACTCGTTCTCCATCGCCATGGCACCTTGCCAGAACTCTACCTGCGTCTGGTCGGGATGTCGTCGCTCCACAGTCGAGCCTTTGAGTTTCAAAGCTTTCACCACCCCTCAGCACACTGGAGCTGCGAAGGCTGCTGCTCCCGGCTACGGCCCCCTGACAATTCAATCGCAAACATGGGCAATGCGCCATTGCCCCGCACCTCAAATTCCACAATTCAAGCCTGACTCCACGCACGCAGCTTCAGATATTCCAACCGGATCGTCGAGCGTTGCCTCTCCACTCCAATCCTGAGGAGTCTCAACTTGCTGCTGGCTTGCTGTGAGCCCAAATCCCACTCTTCCCGTGTGGCAGCTGCTCGATGAGTCCAAACAGGGTGCTTACATGCTCCGCAGGATTCCTTCCTTATCCCCTTTCGCTTCACTGTGAATCTCTCTCCGCCCGTCCGTTCTGTCCCCCTCCTCTCCTCTCCTTCAAAAGCAGCTCCTGAGCCCCCTCCGGACCCCACGACTGCCTCCATGCTTCTTCCTCTTCTACGTTAGCTACCGCGCCCTTTTGGCGACGCGACGCGACGCGACGCAGCGCTCCTTCGCGCCGTCGTGGATTCCACGTCACGGCCACTCCCCTTCCTGCACTCAGTGTATGCAGATTGTTCTCTAGCGAGTTCTACCTCACTCCTTCGGTTTTCGCTATTTAGTAAGCTTATCTTCGCTTGGTTTTCGCTATTTAATAATTTTGGCTTCACATTCTAGCCAGTTTGGGAACTCTGATTGCTCTGTCATTTTGCTTCCACTTCATTAGTCTTTGCGACCTTCGCTTCCTCCTTTCCTTCGTAGGTTTCTGCCATCCGCATTTTCCTCCATCCTTTTTCCCACTCGCCGGGAGAAGATGTTGTTAATCGAACCTGCTGTGGTCTTGAATTGCGCCGCTGCGTTAAGGTCCCACCATGGATTGGGCAAACCACCACGGCGCCAGATATCCCTCACAGAACCTGGCGATTACATACAGCACACAGGAATCACAATAGGAGACATGGGAGACACCGAGTAATTTATGTTTCCACATCCCTTGACACCAAGTAATATAGCGAGGGAAACACCATCATGTAGAACATGGTAGAATCGAAAGGAGGTAACACATTGCTAGTCTCATGTTACACCCCAATAGCATCACCATTGAAAATGTTAGATAATTCTACCACACTTCTTCTAAACATGTGAAATATCCTTTAGTATGACTATTTTTTATATTGCACGAATTATTGTTTTCTATAGAAAAATAAAAGATTACGTTTCATTAAATCTCGAACATAAGATAAAGAAGGAGATAACTCGAACGTATGATTCCTCGAGGCGAACAAACACCTCCAACTGCGTAATCTATGATACTGAGTTTGAAGACATTTTACACAAGATCGATTTGACATTTTCATAATTCCTCCCTTCTTGTGTTGACAGGAGCTTAAATCGCTTGTGGAAGGCCATGAACGGGGGTACTCACAATCTCTCCGTCTGCCTTGACTGAACGGCCGTCCATGTCCGAGGCAAGTCACACGAGAGACGAGTCCTTTTTGGAACTGAGGTACGAAAATCTAATCCTCGTTAAGCTTGGAGTATGATGGAGTCTCGATCTGAAATATGACATTCGAAATAAGAAATGATTAATTATTATTACAGGACAGAAACGCCGAGTATTTGGAACTCTCTGAAGGCGTTTGATCCACGACGGTTTCATCGTCGGACCATCTCGATGCGACTCGACCTTGGAATCATCGTGTCCTCAGGGTCGACTGTGGTAGATGTCAACTCCATCGCAGTCGTAACGAACTACTCGGTGAGATTCAACTGGGTTGCCATGCCAACTGCATCGGACGGGGAGCTGATTTCCATCAATGCTCGAGTAGTAGACGGCAGGAGCGGGAGCGCCCGAAGCAGACCGTTCGAATTGAAATGGACGCTGAAACGGCGATCAACGTGCCTGAGAGCCTCGAATCGTGCGCGCCCGATGCTCAGGCGCCGAATGAGTCCCGGCTTCTCGAGGTCCTGGCGGAATTATGGTCGGGGCTCATTCGAGCCTTCGGCGCATTTGCCATATCGAGGATCTGACCCAGATCACGTCCCGGCGCTGCGTTCGATCGATCGTTCGATTGATGGCTGAATCGCTCTTTCTGTCACAGTCCGGTCTCGAAGAATTTTCTCGATTTTGCTGATCAGAAGCAGATGGATACTTGAGTTTTCCGGTCTCAGCCTGAGACGTTTTCATCGATCTGGGGTTTTGCTTGTGAGAAGGAGCCATGTGGTCCGAGGACAACAGCAAAAAGGATGATCCCTTCGCGGGTTTCGACATGACGCCGCAGAGTCTGAAGAAACTCTGCAAGGATTTGAAATTGTAAAATTTTCGCCCTCTTTTGACGTTGACATGTTGCCAAGGATCTTCAGATGTACGATTCCTGGTAGATAGGAACGAGATGTACCACCTTCGGTAATTTGTTCACTAGAGATGGTACAACTGAGAGCTGTGAAGTCTACAATCGTCTCACGATTTGTCAGTCTCTCACTCTTGCAGATATTCCAGTTGTCCAGAGCTTAACGAAATCTTGCATCTCCATCAAAAGGTAGCAACCCTGAACTAATTCACACCAGTTACTGAATATAAGTTGAAATTGTCGTTTTACATTGAAGACGACTGAGAAGGAAGACTGAGGAAGTCGTGTTGTTCGGTCTAAGTGAGATTCATATTCTGCTTTTCGGTGAAGCGTGTCGTTTCTCGTAATTCACAGTGCAATCAGAAATCGTGCAAGTACCTCTTTCTCACATATCTTGCAAACCTGCGTACGGATAACCTTGATCCTTCCGTGTCTAAAACAGGGCATCGTGAAGATCAAGAATTTAGATGAATATGTGAACTTGAGAACTATTTATTTCGAATGTAATGGTGGGTGAAAAAACAAACTAACCATTTTAAGATTCATGAATGAAGACGTTAGTATGAACACTCAACTGGTCCCGTTGGTATTTCCGTCTACAACACACAAATCGTTAAGTTCAGTAGTTAAACACGTACGTCATTCGGATGACGCTGCGAAGATTCTATTGTGAAACCCAGCTCCAGACCTTTGTTTTAAGCAGTGTTTACGATTACCTCCACGGGCAGCTCTAAACAGGCTTCCACCAATCTGTGCAGCCATTTCCAAGATCGAGGGGCTGGATCACCTCGTCAACTTGCGCTGCCTCTATCTGAATGAGGTACTAGCTTTTCTGTATGTCTCTCTGTTAACAGCTGATTTAATAGTTCTATGAAAAAAATATGAACACCTATAAGAAGGCTATCGCCAGGTTGTCAGGATATCGCCGTATGATGAAACAACTAAGACAGTTCCTTTGCAGAATCTGGTGGAGTTTATAACTGGTCTGGACTCCCTTACGCAACTTGAAACACTGGATCTTGCTGACAACCAGGTCAGCTGCTGTGTATCTGATCTCATAATGAGAAATTCGTTGTGTCAGATCGTTGTAAAGAAGAAACACTAAGGCTCTTCCGTGCTGTAGCTTCTCTTCTTCGGCTTCGTACCTTTGCCTCTCATGTGGAGGAAAAGCATGAAACTTGGAAAAAATTGCTAAAAAAATTTAACCATGCAGATAAAGACCGTGCAAGGACTTAGTAACTGCTCCCAGCTTCGACAGCTAAATTTGTCCGGGAATCGTATTCAGTCTGCTGCAGATGTCTACCACCTGACGGTACCACGTCTCCCAACATTGGCTTCTCTGCTGGTGTCTTAACACAGTCGGAACAGAATATCGCATCATGTCTAGTGACGAGTGCGCACTGCAGAAGCAGTAGCAATAGCTTCAAGTCCAATTTTTTCCGTATAAAGCATCAAGAGGCCTTGTACCCGATTAGAAATCTAGGTGTCAAAGTGTCAATCTTTCTCCTGAGACTTCCATGTTTTCGTGCTAATTCGTCATTCACGGTGCTGTAGGAATGCCAAAGCCTCCTATCCCTGGATCTTTCAAAAAACAGGATAGACGAGGAGATGGCTTTAGAGGTGAGAGGCTTTTAGCTCGTCAAGTGAAGGTCGATCCAAAAAGTAATTTACCAGAGAATTGCCAGATAGGTTGATAAATAACAATTATCAAGCTAAGCCCGCTTACTGAGTAGAACTCTCATTGTGATTTCAACGTCAAGGTTGTAAGGACCCTCAACTTGAGATTGCTCCGAATGGTTGGAAATCCAGTGGTTTCAACAACAAGGCACTACCGGAAAACAACCATTGTTCGAATGCCCGAGGTACAGTTTAGTGTTCACCAAGAGAGGATTTGTGTTTTTTCCTAATATGCTGTGAAACTGCTGTTGGTAGCGTAGTGATTAACCTCAGCTGAAAGTTGAAGTCGCATTTCGGCACCTTATAAGCAAAAATAAGACTGGGGGAATTTCAGATATGCCATCATCTCTTCAATCAGGTTTGAAGAAAATTTCAATTCAATTTCAATTCAAAAACGAAAGCAGAGTTTGGGCACCTACAGCGACCTTTTGTGGACAGATGTGCTTGTGGTAATCTACTCGTTTACTGCCGTTGTCTTCTCCAGCTACATTACATGGACGACTCCCCAGTTTTTCCGAAGGACCGTCGATTGGCAGAAGCCTGGTGCGAAGGAGGAGCAGAGGTTGTGACCATTCTCGTTGGAACATATGCGTTGTTTTTATCAAAATCCAATTGGAGTGCAGATGGATAATTTAAAGCGTCTGACTTGTTCTGGACTTGGGATGGAACTAGGCTGAATCGGAGATGCGAGCGATAATTCGCCAAGAGGAGGCAGATACACGTGAGAGGCATCGCAAAGGTCTTGAGACAGGACGAAACTTTTCTTTGCTGTATTGTCATTGTATGCAAGCATCTCCGGCGTGATTTGAGCTTCTCCTGAACCTAACCTCGATTTGTCTGTGTGTCTCAACGACAGAGTTCGATGAAATGATTCACAAGGCCAGAGCGGATGCTGCTGCAGCTGCAGCTGCAGCTGCACAACAGCAGGCTGAGAAAGAAAGAGGAGAAGAAGCCGCACTGCTTTCTGCGGTAGAAAGGGATGCGAGTGATGAGATGGTCACAACGGGAGAGTGCGATATACTCTTCAAGGAAAACGGCATGGATGAAGATAAAGATGTCCCCCGCCAAGAAAAGTTCCCATTAGAAGCCAGAAAACGCGATGCTAGTGCCCTTGACCCACAAGAGAGTCCTACTCCTAGAAAGCATTGGCGAGGTGTAGAATTCATTGGAAGCAATGTTGACATCCAAGGAGTCAGTCCAATGGATGAGAACATGGACCTTGAAAGCACAGACAGGTACATTGACGACCATCCATACAGGGCTTGTCAAGAAGCCTCGTCCATCATACTCGACGATACTATGACAGAATTCAGGAATGGTGGAAAGGTTAAAGTCTACAGTGGACTTGCAACCTTAATGGGTGATTCTGAAGAACTACTGGAGTTACCTCCGCTAGAGAACCCGATTACAGCAGATTCAGACTTCGAGCTAACTGCTCTAGAAGATTGTGACCCAAACTCCGAGATGACTTGTGAATGGGAAGCATACGGTCCTCCTGTGGCTGATGAGGAAGAAACAAGCAGTACCTCAGCCTCCGAATCAGAACGGAGATTTCAGTGGACTGAGAAAGAAAGAAGATTCAAACGCGAGCTTCACGAACGGATCTTACGACGGGCAGTGGTCAACGCAGATGCCATCTTGGAGAGAGGGAAGAAGCAGGCATCATCCGGGGGCATGGATATCAGTCTCGACGAGGAAGGTCAGCAGTCTGCAAGACCGATCATATGGGGAACGGAGGCATACAGAAATCTATGGGCGAAAGCAGCCGAGGCTGCTGACGAGAAGATCTTTGAACAAAACAACCACGATATCACGAAAGGGACTGATGTTATTATGGACTCGCTCTATAGCACAAACATGTCAGACACTGAGGCTGACGTATATGAGCCTCCTCAATCTTTCCCAAACGCAACCTTTGAAAACCCTTGTTACTGTTCTGATTAAGGTCCATTCCGTATTGAACTATGAGATCAACCTTTGAAAACCCTTGTTACTGTTCTGATTAAGGTCCATTCCGTATTGAACTATGAGATCAGCCTACATCGTTAAACTGTTCTTCAAATCTTTTGATAAAAAGTTCGAATTCATACTTCCAGATATCTCAGTGTCGTGCCAGAGACTTTAAGATTCTAATTTATCTCTTGACCTACTACTGCTACATCCACCGCTAGTCTTGAAGAGAATAAAGGGCACGAATCGAATATGATACACGAGAGATAAGTGGTGGAGTTGCGTTGATGAACCACGAAAAGCTCGAAAGGCTCATGGTCTTACATCGCTACAAGATTTTCAGCCAATACTACTGTTATTTGTTGAGGTGAAGCAGCTCTTGAACAGAGTCCCACGGTTCGCGATAATCACAATCCTGGCCAAAAGCAAAAAGAAGCATAAAAAAATTTACACTTTCACACCATTCCAGACCAGAAAGTGGACATACACTCCATCGAGTTGTGATCCAAGGGGCACGGTAAACTTTTCCGCCTTGATATATTCCACAAGTAACTACGGCCACCAATGTGGCCATTTGACATCTCGGGAGGAATCATCCTCCGCCTCTACCAGGAAGTAACTGCTATGTGTCCCTTGGAGACTGGTTGCTTCCAGTGAGTAATTTCCTAGTCACAGTATGTCATAATCAGATTAACACCACATCTCGAGAGCATGGGCATCTCTGAGCTTGGAAACTGGTGTCTCTATCTATTGTACGGGAATGGAAGCTCCTCAATGTTGCTGATTGACCTACAGATTTGACCCTGCGGCTTTTGAAAGCGGAAGGGAGTGGAATCAGGCAATACATTACTCTAGGTTCCGCCGCAGCCGAAGTAACAAGACCGTCGGAAGAGGAAATCCGGGCAGGTCCGAATATATCCTCCGTCTCTAGACTCTCTAGCTGCCTCTATTAAAGGAAGCTGCGGGAAATAAAAAATTGCGCGGCCAAAAATCTTGAGTTGTAATCGACATTCGTCCAGACCTCGAACTGTGCATCCGATACATGTAAAAGCAACCACAATCAGAGAACAGCACGATAGCTAGCTGCTCAAAGTACTCCACTTGAGGTCAATGTAAGCTAGACTAGTAAATGGCAAATGGTAAATAGATCAAGCCCGTGGGACCCAAAGGGTCAAAAGGCTGGAAAACACATAACAAGTCATTCATCCACTCACCAGGAAAAAGATCCTAAATACCTTCTCCTAGCTAGTGCCTAGAGCACTAGAACGATGAACAATGACGCCCCTACTATAACAACCTAAAAAACATGATAGGACAAAAAGAACTGGTTTCCACCAGCCTTTTTTTCAGTTCAATTTACGTCAATAATCGACGATATAAAACTAAGAAAGAAGAAGAAATTTAATATGTTTTAAAAAAGGGAAGGAAAAGGAAAGGGAATATTGCACCTGTTCTATTATTTCGTAGTATTCTCATCACCAGGTGCTTTATCTCCTTCACCCTCGGAATCTTCCACAAAATTCCAGTCACCCTGCATGATCAAAGTATCGTGCTTTACTTCTACTAGACCCCCAGCGAAAGAAAGTTGCTTTTTTCATTGCCTCTAAACTCACATGAAGGTAAACTGGCGTCACCAAGCAGCTAAATGGCGATTAAAAAATCAATATGCAAGCAACATCAAGAGGAGATACGATTCAGATAGAAAGCAAACCTCTTCGACATCAAAGATCTCTCGTACAGCGTCTATCCTCTTTGTGGCAGTTCCATTTACTGCTCCTCTGTCTTCTTTGTCCCCATATTCGACTCTCTGATCACCCTCAGGAGAGCCGATCTGATTCACGAATCCCTCGTCGTCTCCGTCTACTCCTTCCTCAGCAAGAATAGTTGCATCTCCGGCGATAACATCCAACAGGTCATCCTCGTCCTCTTCAACAACGGCCTCATCCACACTCCTGACTCGAGGCTCTCTATCCTTTCTGAACTCTTCCTTGAGTTTCTCGGGATCGCCCCAGTAATCATGTCGCCATTGTGGCTCTCGTGGGTCGTAAGGATTCTTCCCCCAGAAAGACTTGTCAGCATATCGTCCGGGCTCTTCTAAAGGCAAACCTGCTTGCAACCGGCTGAGACAGAACGAGGCAAGTAGGTGTCCATAAGCATCAAAACTTAAAACTGTCGCGTCCTCACAGACCGACGAGGATCCTCCATGAAGCGGATAGTCAGTAATTATGTTAAGCTAGCGCCACTTACCATGCTCTGTCGCGTATCAAAGCCTCTCTCTCCTGATCCCACCGCTCCTGGTGCATATCGTTGAGTTGTTTCACCCTCCTGTCAAATCGAGACTCCGGCTGTACAAATTCCTCTCCTCTTGCCTCAGCCTCCATGGCCAGAACTTTCAAAGCCTGCGAAAGAGACATGAATCAATATCTACAAAAAGGATCAAAGAAACCTCCTTCACACTACTTAGTGAATAACATGACCATGCTCTTCATTTTGAACTTACAGTATCGTGCTATGAATACAATCCAGCCAGATAGGAAGTCGGGACAGTACACGCCTAACTTACATAGTATCGCTTCTACAGATAAATTGATGGTCATGTAATAAATATAAGGAACGGAAACGGTACCTGTCTTTCAGCACGGGCATCTTCGAGATTCATGAACTTGTCTTCGATGTGCTGTACTCATCAGTTGAACCAGCAGTAACAGATGTTTTCGATCAGTACAAGAACTGTTTCAAGGTGCTATATCCATATAATAAAGATCAATGACACATTGAAAATTACCTTCTAGGTGAAATATAGAAGTGCGGAGCTCGTACATATGTAGATAGCATAGAACTAATAATCAGTAGTGAAAGCATGAAGTGTACTGAGAGTGTTGCCTACCAGAACAATTGTTGGAACCTCAAAATCTTCATCGGACTCGTGAAGGATCCCAGGCTCCGTAGCCCACTCTCCTTCTGGATCATCATCTTCTACGGCCCACTCTTCATACTCTTGACCATCATCATCATCAATACCTTCTTCGTCATCCAAAGTCATCTGTTCTGCTTCATGTATTTGCCACACCTGTCGACGTCCGGTAATGGAAAGGTATCAACAATAGAATAGCCATACTCTAGCCGGGAACTCTCTTATGTATGCTTCAAACTAGGCTCGTGGATCAGACAAGACGTTTGAAGTGAGATGGAAAACTCACTCTTGACACAAAGGGATGAACCGGAGCTAAGTTTACATCCTCCTCGTCCTCGTCAGGATCAACCTCTGGACGCAGCTTTGGAAAGTAAGGCCTTCCGGCTTCTCTCTGGGGTACATGTCAATAGTGACGTTAGAATTACCGTGTATAAAGCTGTCGAACCTGTGTAGCGTTTCGCACATTCTAGATGTTTTGAGCAGATTACCATTGCATTAGTCCTATGCGTGTCTATAATTCAGCAGGTCGTGTCGTCTAGTGTATATTACCGCGACTTCGTCTAAATTGTCATCCCCTTTTCTGCCAAAGATTGGAGGATACTCGAACCTTCTAAATCTGTAATAACAAGGTAGAAAATATTTATCAGCTCAAGAGGAGTTCAACACACTCCATTCCTGCAGCAAAGATCAAATTTCCACAAGAAATCGAGCAGGGAGTCTTCAAAACACCACTCTAGTTTCCTACGTACATTAGATCGTCGATATTTGGATCAACGAAGCGCATCTCGACGGGAAATCGAAAACGATATGGGTCCCTTTTCGCCTGACAAACACAAAAAAAAATTAAGCAGAGGTGAGGGTGGTTAAAGACGTCTTGACCAAATACAAAACATAGGTCGCTTATAAATCACCAAATAGTTGACTGAAGATAGCAAGGGCAGTCACAGTCTTGGATAAAGTTCAAAGCCACTCACCACAACTTCAACCTGGACCGACATACCGACTCTAATGTGCTTCCGAATTTCATACCAGTCGTTGTCCATTATGGGAACCCACCTGTCGGAACACAAGTTTATCCCTCTCAGTCAGCAGAGAAACTTTGAAGCTCATCTGAGTTCCTTTCTATAACGGTGAGAGATTCAGAAAGTTCAATGAATTCCTCCCCTCTCCAAAACAATGCTGTATCAGAACATTTCAAAATGTAATATGTATATGATCTATCGAAGTGTTAACTCGACATGAGCACGAAAATAAGAAACGAGTGTAGAGCATCAGACACCTTTGAGAACAAGAAACATGACCGAGACTCACCCGTCATGCACGCCTCCGAAATACACAAAAGCACCCTCGTATAGATGGATACTGGTAACAACTCCCCAATAATGCTGGCCGGGATAGATGAAAGGTAACTCATACTGGAATGGTTAAACCAGAACAAAGCACGACGGACAGTGTAAGTTGAGGAGAAAAAGATCCATTCAGCTGTATCACCTAGATTCCTACAAGGAAAATCAAATTTTAACAATACAAATGTGAAGAAGCAAAGGTATGGATATATCTCGAATATGAAGGTAATTATCTTTTGTCTTTGGAATATATAATATAATGAAATTTGCATCTTAGAAACACCAACATCTGACACCTACGTATACGATACTGTTGCAGCATGCTGCACACAAAATAAATTACACACCATGCCATCTTCATAATCGTCTCCAGTCTTCCTCCTGCCGGGGTAGTATTCATGATCCATCTATGAGCGAAGAAAACAGCTTTCAGCGCTGCGTTAGTCAAAGGTTGAAGCGATTCACAGGCATGCAAGATCATCCGTAGAATCATTCTGCATAAACGGAAGCCTACAGAATCTTGAAACGAATATCAAACTTTCTCTTGTTCTAAATTTACAAAGAGCTTGGAGGCCTGACGAACCTCAATTGCTTCCTCCTCGAGTGCATCCTTGTTTGCTTCAACCCACTCGTTGTATTGTTTTAGAAACATCTCCCATCTGGGAACATGCGGATCCCCCTCCTGCACTACATTTTCCTCGTCCAAATCTTCCGGTTTGATAATATGATTCTCAAGAGAGAAAGATTCTCTGATATACGCAAGTTCCTTTGCGTCAACCTGCCACCCTGGAGGAGGCCAATCTCGAGGAGGAGTTAGTCTGAACACGAAAGGCTGATTCCACATTGTTTCTTCAAACTTAACTTCCTTCTTCTGTTCATCCCTATCTTTCTTAGCAGCATCATCCGCCTCCTTCTGCCTTCTATCAGTTTCCATTTTCGGATTCAGCTTCTTAAAAGCTTCCCAAGATACGGCAGCCTCTTCTTCACCGTCAGCCAAACTGTCTACAGCGAATTGTGCCTCCGGAGTGAGCAGCTCTTCCCACGGAGCCCATCCCCTTTCGGTCCAATTGCGCAATCTGGCTTCCTCTTCACTTTCTCCGTCTTCGTTTTCCTCTTCCTCATCATCAACAATCGTAGGAATGATAACATCCGAGGGTGGCTGAGATGCCCGAATACGGGTGCACCTCCTAGCGTCCTCCCTGAACCTGGCCTTCCAGAACCTTGTTCCGCTTTCCCGAATGCCTGCGCTAACTACAATTCCAGATACTTTTCTTCTCGAACTATCAATTCCTGCAGATACTCTCCAAGTTCCAAGCCCACTCTGCTTCGAAGATACATTAAGCCTTGCGTTTCTTCCTCCTCGAGACACCTGCAAGCTCACAGCTTGCCTCGTTCCCGCTGTTCCTGCTGCCCCGAGGCAGCTAATGGCCTCCAAAAGCGCCATTTCTGCCTACACAGCGTTCCGTGGCAAGGTGAAGTCAGAATTCAAGGATGTCGATGGACTCATAAATCGACCGGTGCCATGAACCAGAATGAGTCAACAATTCTTCCCGACTCGAAGCAGCAGAATGACATTCAAAGAGCGATTCGAGAATTTGACGAATGGAATCCGCAGGCTCGAGCACCCTTACCGAGCTCTGAAAAGCAAAACGGGAGCAAAATTGAGAGCCGAACCTTATCTGTTACCAGCTCGCTCTTAAACCCCCCGGCACCTCCCCTTAAACCCTGAGGATCTCGAGGTATAAGAACATGTTACTTGACTCAGGAAAGACGGGTGGTTTGTTACTTGTAGAGGAGACGGCGGAGCAGACATTTGAAAGCAAATTTTGGTAAGAAATGCAACCCCCATCTATGTGCAGATGCAATGCTCTTATAATAAGAATGAAATGAAGTCAAGTTCATATTAAAAATCAAAACTTTATACAGACATTAATTTTCCTCCAATCTTCCTTCAAGAGATGATTTTAGCATATGATTTATGCTTCACCACCTTCAGTTATAAACATTACATGGAATTTTAATTTCTCCAACTTTATGCAATCATAATTAGATTACACATTCAATATCATCAAGAATTTTTTCTAGATTGTTCGTACAAGGAATCCATTGTTCAGCCCATTCTTAAGTATAATCTTCAATAAATAAAATGTGATAAGAAGTGTAAAAACCTTGATATTAGAGTTTGGATAGTGATTTACAGTAATTTAGAAAATCCTTTTATTTAATTCCTTTTGAGAAGGAATTAAATAAAAGGAAAATTTTTAAAATAAATCTGAGGTTTTTAAATTATATTTATACAAATGTTAGTAAAACGTTCACACTTACATATTTTCAAAAATTCTAAAGTTGGAAATAATGATACATATCAATTCATGTGTATAAGTCAAAACATACCAGTTCTTGCATATTATAGATTAAATATAAATATATAACACTCGATGTACAATATACATTTATACATTTATATATTGCACATTGATTACGATGCATCTGGAAATTTATAGTTTGTATTATTATCTCTAAATTTATTCATGATATGTATTAAATATAAAATGTTACTAATTTGTTTATTTTTTGTGTTTAAGCTATGGTAGCAGATGAAGTTTGATAATTTTATAAGATCTTAAGTAACATCCGACCTCTGGGTCCTTCGGAAACTCGCCCCTTCTTTCTACAAGCCCTCTTCCTCTGGTCAATTGCTGCGCACCTTCTCCCTCAGCCGACCAAAGGTAAAAGTAAAAAGGCTTTGAAAGAATCAAACGCTGTGATTTTGTCTCGCCGGATTATCGAATCGAAAAAAACTTGTCTTCGCGGCCAGCATTTCAGCAGCCACGGGTAAGCCTAGCCAATCCCGTAGATTGGCAAAGACTCCACCATAGGAGACGTCGCAGCCCCACGGGCCGCGACGTCAGCCCCTGTCCGGGATGTACCCCAACTCAAAGGAGAAGGGCTACCAAGCCCCTCAGCTTTCCTCACGATGTAGTCGAGAAGCCAATGTACCTCGCCGTAAGGTTGTTTTCCTGTGGAGAGGAAGGCCAGAAGATGAGCGAGGCATCCTTTTTGTATCGTTGCCTCCGGATTAAGCAGTAGTACTGCTGTCACCAGTACTACGTTCACTGGTTCTGTCACCCTCAGGTTTCTCATGGGGATCTCATTGTATCCCTCGGCAGCTCCCATCAAAGTGCGATATACTTGGTGCAACTAATAACCTTTAGGAAAAGTATATTATTATTGGTATAAGAAAAGGACGTCAAGTCCGCATGGCCCTTATGGGCTGGGCTACACACGTGCTACAATGGCAATTACAATTGGAAGCAATGCTGTAAGGTGAAGCGAATCCAGAAAGATTGCCTAAGTTCGGATTGTTCTCTGCAACTCGAAAACATGAAGTTGGAATCGCTAGTAATCGCGGATTAGCATGCCGCGGAGTACTCGGGCCCTGTACAAACTGCCCGTCAAACCATGTAAAATGGTATCTACATAAGGTTCGAGAGGTGTTTCAACACTTCCAACCTCCGAAATCTTCCTACATAACTTGGATTGTTATGTCGAAGACATACTCATACCCAACTACAATGTAGAGAATATGCGCCCCGCGTCGGCGGAATATAAGAAAAGGCTTAATATCCATTCAATGGACAAAGCCTTCTTCAAGTATTATACAGAATTAGAGCAGGCCATCAAAAACATCAAACACCTAAAGTGGATAAACTTCGAACAACAAAAAAAAATCTATTTTAGTAAAAAAATAATATTTTTTTGAAATTTTTTTTTTTTCAAAACCCTAAAGTTTCGTGCCCTTTGGGCGGAAGGACGCTTCTAGAAATGGCTGAGAAAGAAGGATTAAAAAGACTTAAGTACCTCCGGTAGGCGGATAACATAATTTTAGGTGTTATAGGCAGCAAACAAGATGCCCTAGATATTAGAAAAGCCGTGCAAAACTTCCTGCAGGAAGAACTGAAGTTGGACATAAACGAAAAGAAAAGTAAAATCTTACACGCAAAGTCCGAGATGGCCAAATACTTAGGCGCATTAGTAATATATTACCGCACCGGAAGTGTGGAAATCTTAAGCAAGGTCTCCAATGTCAAACAAATAAGACTCTGATCTCGTCCACAACTAATAGCTCCCATAAAGGACTTAATAACTAAAGCCTTGGAACTTGGATACGCGAAAAAATACGCCAAGGGCTTAGCTCGAGCAACCTCCAATCCAATAAATATTTAAATATTAATAGATGCTCACATTACAGACAAAGAAAATGTCGTGCGAATACGTATTGCTATACATCCTACATCGCTGACATGCTACTCACATACACATACACACATATAAGGCATGAGAGAGTACACACTCGAATGTCACAACTGAAAAGTTTGGGAGATTCCCCACTAGAATTCTCGTCGGTCGTTTACCCTACTGGCAAAACCGTCACCGTCACAAACATAGTCAAGCCCAACCCACTCCTGACTTTAGGTCTGACGCTCACGGGCACTACTCCAACGCGTTAGGCCCGAAGAACTTACGTTCTTCAGGCCGTCTCTTATCTATACCCTACGACCTGAAACCCTAGGCTCAACACTATTTTTAGCAAAACCAAAAACTACATGACAGTTGTCGTGCGAATACGTATTGCCATACATCCTACATCGTTGACATGCTACTCACATACACATACGCACACATACACACATATAAGGCGCGAGAGAGTACACACTCGAATATCACAACTCGCCCCCCTAGCTGGCAGTCAGGTCCCTCTGACTCCCAGTTAGTCCTATCTACAACTACATGCTATACACCTTCGTGGGTGCGCGAACCAGTAGGCCGGGTGCTATGTCGCCCCATTGTTAGTCGCCTATCTGCAATTCATAACATGTGAAGATCAAGTCATCTACCCCTTTGAAGTACATCGAGAACAAACCCATCGTCCAGTCGGAATAACATCGATATGCAAAGTTAGGCACGACATGTGCCATCCCCTAGAGCACCTATCACACACCAACATACGGGCCGCCTGACCAGCTGACCCACACAGCATGCACCTGAAGCCAGCACATACTATTGCTAAGCTAAGATCCATAGTGCCATCTACGTTTGGGAGGTGGCATGGCGCACAATTGCGCACATGATACTTCCAAACAACACCGTCACGACCCTCCAACAGGAGAACTCCAGAAGGTAACACCTCCCGCACTCGCAAGATTGTGCGTTCCGCCGTCACATCCAATGTCGTCGGTGCAGTCTGCTGTAGATACACGTAGTCTCCCACATGGAATCTACGAATCGATGGTCGATAACCTCCTCCCCGAATGGTTGCATATCGAAACGTATCTCTATGTTGAGCAATCGCAAGATTCTCAAACGCTGCAGGCATAACTCTCTGAAAGAGCTCTGCACGCTGAGAACATACTTTCACCCACATATTCGGGTCATCAAGGTTCACCACCTCGCTAGATTCACGACAAATCCATGTTGGCAAGTCTGGATCTCGGTCGTACAATAGAAAATATGGTGAGAAGGAAGCCAAGGATGCCTGCTGATTGAACCGATATCCCATGGCCAACCAAGGTAACTGAATATTCCAGTTCCCAATATGACCTTTCTGGAGGCCATACTTGCGCAACGCCCTCTTCACCGTCTGTACAACACGTTCATCTAAACCATCCGCCTCTTGATGATCTCGCGACGTGGTCTGGTGATCAATCAGCGCCTTGTCACACAAGACCTGAAACTTCGTCCCTCGATTGGTCAACACCTCAGCTGGTGCATCATAGTGACTAAGCACCCTGTCAAGGAAAGCGTATGAAGCTACTTCCTCACTTGCCTTGTCAGGTAATGCCACCAACTCAATCCACTTGGAGAAATGCTCTATCATGATCAACACATACTAATGATGTCGTACAGTCAAAGGTAGTGGTCCAGCAAAGTCCAAACTCCAACGGTAACCCAACCCCATGATGGGTAATGGATGTAACTCTGGTGTCGAGGCATTGAACGATGCCCTCATCTGATCACAAACTATGCAACGTGATACCAACTGCTGTACCTGAGTATGCATACCACGCCACCAATACTGATCAAGGAGTAAGCTGTATGTACGCTTCACTCCAAAATGTCCCAACTCCTCATGAGCATGCCTCACAATGCGTGCTCTCTGAGCTGGATGTGGTACTACTCGTACCCTACCGTCCTCCCAGACTCGGAGAACATGTGATCCCTCGGAATCTCTTCGCCCATTGGAGAACACGATCTCGCTCCTTGGCAGCCACTATGCCTGGCACCATGCTGGTCCGTAGGAACTCCAACACCAATGCATCATCGTGAACATCACGCTGATCCACACCACCATCCTCAACCTCAGGATCTGAAGATCGACCATCTATTCTCTTACTAGAGTAAGATGTCAGATGATACTCTCTGCTGGAGTTTCCACGTAACCAACACATGAAGGCAGATGCATGCCAACCAGACATCATCTCCTCGTCAACCTCACCATGCCATCTAGCTCCAGAGTCATCCTCCTGGCTAGTGCATGGATTTGGACTTAAACCATCGGCATCCAGGTTCGCAACTTCAGGTCTATGCACTACCTGAAAGTCGTACTCCTGTAAGATGAGAGCCCACCGTGCAAGCTTCCCTCTAAGCTTGTC